CCCGTCCACCCCATCTGGGGTGTGAAACTGCTGCCCTGGACAGCATTGGCTTGATTGTGCATCTGCATGACACAGAGTGAGCAGTCGCACGTGGCCCCAGTATAGGATCGTGAGGCATGGCAAGCGTGGGAAAGTGCGATTCTAGGAAGGGTGACCCCCAAGCCCCATTTCTACTTTTCGAGTATGAATTTCACTCTCATTCGCGCACACAGCCTGAGTGCAGTTTTGACACTAGAACCTTGCAAGTCAGCGAGGTTCCAGATCTGGGGTGAAACTGTTAACCTGGGAAGTATTGGCTCCCTCGTGCAACTGCATAACACGGGGTGAGCATTCACATCTGGTTCTGATACACCATGTCAGCCCACCGTCAAGCTTTTCAGTGAGAAACTCTCTGCCGTTTATACTTGCAGCACGAGGCCAGTTTTGACACTGGAACCTTGCAAGTCAGCGAGGTCTCAGCTGTGGGGTGAAACTGCTGCCCTGGCAAGTATTGGCTCGATTGTGCAGCTGCATGACACAGAGTGAGCATTCGCACTTGGTCCAGGTACCTATATTCGGCCCTCCAATTCCAGTCCCCATTATACTTGCAGCACAAGTCCAGTTTCGACACTAGAACCTTGCAAGTCAGTGAGGTCCCAGTGGGGGGTGAAACGGCCGCCCAATGGTCACTGGCAGCGGGGGGGTTCGAATAGTCACTGGCAATGGGGGGTTCTGAATACTCACGTGTCCACCATGTCCACCATGTCCACCCCTTCCACGCCGTCCACCCTGTCCACCCCGTCCACCCCGTCCACCCTGTCCACCTTGTCAAGCTCCCTCGCTCCTGTCATCAATTGGTCATGGGGGGTTCCGAATAGTCGATGGCAATGGGGGGTTCCGAACAGTCACTGGCAATGGGGGGTTCCGAATGGACACTGGCAATGGGGGGTTCCGAATAGTCACATGTCCACCCCGTCCACTGCGTCCACCCCTTCCACCCCATCCACCTTACGGCTTCCAACAGATTGACTTGCTGTCGGCGCTGGCTCTGGCAGCCGAAGCCAACCCAGCACCAGTCACAATCGTAACCAGGTTAGGCGCTGAATCGACTGCCTGCAGGCCAGAGTTCGAGATGATTGGCGGGACGAGAATGCAGTGTGTTCAGCACAGTTTGGGCACGACAACCAAGGACCTTCAGCACCACTTTTGGTGCCATGTCATCGAGCTCTCAGATCCTCTCTCAGAACCAGGCTCCAAGCCAGCTCCAGCGTCAGTGAGACATGACAGGAGACAAGTGTCCGAACTCAGATCTTGCCATTTCCCACCTTCTAGACGGGTCTGGCCCACTGGTGATGCATCAGACCGCATTGTTTCGTTGTAAGGCTGTCAAGGCGGAGACAGCACAGAGGACATGGGATTCCTCTCCGCGCTGGAGAAAGCCTTGCGCCATTCTTTCTGAAGACTATCTTATGCATTGTGTTGTTTACAATGGGACGTGTGTGATTCGGGGGATCGGTAGTATGGTTCTCGCGCATTACGTTGTGTGCTAAAAGGTCATGCGACGCGGGTGGCCAGCTTCCCATTTAGGCACCTCCTCGGCGATAGACGTCGTGCTGGGCGGTGGGGAGCCTTGGGTTGAGGGGCATCGGACGTCTGAGCGGAGGGGGTGCTCTGCGCCTCTGACGAGGGTAGCGAGGGCGCAGCCTCTTTGTTCCCTTCTGCCTTGGCCTTGGCGGCCGCCTTCTCAGCGGCAATGACGTTTCAGAGGCATTTGCCTGCAACGCCGAGCCAGAGCAGGAACCCGTCCGAGCAGGATGTTCTCTTCTACGCTGCCAGCACTATGTAAGGGGTCTGGGTGATCTCGGCGCTTGGCGGAGGCGGTGGAGTTGCGCGCGCCGAGGATACCCGATAAAGGCCGCATAAGTTTAAGAGAAGGATCGTCGCTGGAGGGGCCTTGCATCATTCTTCTAGCTCATGCGTGGAGTTGTACATAAAGCGACCTAGTTACAGCGTTACTCGAACGGGGAGGCTAGCTGCGCGTGCTGGGGGGTGGGGAGGGCGCAGCCTCTTCGTTGCGCTCTGCATCGGCCTCGGCCTCGGCGGCCGCCTCCTCAGCGGCAATGACGTCTCGGAGGCATTCACATGCAACCCCGAGCCAGAGCATGAACCGGCGCCATTGCCGCTCAGCACTAGAGGGAACTTCGGCTGGAGTGAACTCTGCTACCTTGAAGCCCCGAGGTCCGATGATGACGACCCGCAGCTCGTGCGAGCGCGAGTTGGTGTATTGCGCGATGTTGTCCTCCTTAATCGAGCTGAGGTACTCGTCCGTGAGTAGGACGCGCACTTTGCGTCCAGTATCGAACGACTTCGAGAGCTTCTCCCTCGGGATTGGCATGGAGATGACGGGCACCGCGCCGGGCGGGTCGTCGCCCATCAGGTCAGAGACGTCCCGCATAATGTCGGTGTCCCGACAGATGCGCGCGCGGGCATCCCTGCGGTTGATCGTGACCTGTTGTTAGGAAGGGTAAGGGATCATGCACGACGGATGGCCACTAACTTCTCTAGTGCCTGCCAGAAGTTGCCTCAGGCAGGCTGCCTGTTTGTCGCTGTTCTTCCTGAAACGTCAGTAAGCCTTTCAAGAGCTGATTGCCCGGAGGTTGACCTCACCTTAGACGGCTTGCTGCCTTCCTCAGACGCGGTGTTGTCGGGATACGCGGGACCTTGGGCGCTCGTTGACGCGCTCGACGTGGGCCGTGCGCGCACGGGATCGATGTCTGGGCCGTCGACGAGGTGTCTTCGGCCGAGCGCCGGGCCTTCTCCGCCGCCTTCTCCGCCGCGATGGCCCTTCTGAGGTACTGGCCAGCGATCGTGAGCCAGAGAAGGAATCGCTTCCACTGCCGCTCAGCGCCCTCGGGGATGTCGTCGGCGGTGAAGGAGAAGATCTTGTACCCTCGCGGGCCGATGACCGTCACCAATAAGTCCTCAGAACGGGTCGTGCCGAACTCCTCGGGGTCGGAGATGGGGGTTTCCGAACGAGTGGAACTTGACGAGGCGGCCCTTCTCGAACCCGTTCGGGATCTTCTCGCGGGGCACCGGGATCGCGATTACCGGAGGTGGGCCGGGAGGGTCCTTCATCAGGTCCGAGATCTTCTTCACGACCGGCTCATCTCGGCAGACTCGGGCACGCGAGTCCTTCTTTGTCAAAGTGATCTGTTGTTGTTAGAAAGAGCATGGGAACATGTACGATGTATGGGCACTTACCTCCTCCTTCCCCGAGAGGAGCTCTCTAAGGCACGTGACCTGCTTCGCGATGATCTCCTCCTGAAACGTCAATAAGTCTTTCCGAAAAAGGATCCCCGAAGGTTGACCTCACCTTCGTCAATCGGCTCTTGTTCTCGGGGGCGGGCTTTGGCGCCGCGGCCGGGGGCGGTTGCTGTAGCGATCGCTGCGGGGTGCACACCGAAGACAGCCTTGTGCTGGCCAGTGCCTGAAATGAGGGGCTCAGCCGCGTCGTGCGTCTTGGCGGGGTCTTCCTCGTTCGCCGACTGCGGCTTCGAGGTGTAAAAAGGATAGTGAGGAAAGGGGGGGAAGGAGGGGGGGGGGAGGTGGTGCGGGCTCGGTCTCCTCGGGAGAGGAGAGGAGGTCGATGAGCGGCTCATCACTTGCCGCCTCAGCCTGGCTCGAAGGCTGCTCAACTCCTCGCCAGAACTCGCGGAAGCGATTAATGACGCTGAGAGAGTCGAGTGTGATCTCGAGCAGCTCTTGCTGTTGGTGAGGGGTAAGGTTGAGGCCGAGGCCTTGCGGGACGGGGAGTTGGGGTACTTCGTCTGCCTTGGGAAGAAGCTTCTGCATTTGTTAGCAGGGGACACCCTCAGGTATTGCCCCTGTAGCAACGATCAAGAGAGACTCACCGACTTCTTCCGCAGGCCCTCGACCATGCTCGTGCGCTGCGCCGTAGAGGTCGACTGGGGCGAAGAGGGCGAAGGGGGTGCCGACCGCTTGCGCCGCTTGCCAGTCAAGCTGCTGGGCTTGGGTGGACTGGGCGTGGAGACCATCGCGTAAGACTAAAGCAGTCAACCTAATCGTGACCCGTCCGTGAGCTTGGTGTCAGAGACGTAGCGCGACGCAACGAGACCGGATACTTCCCAAATCCGTTGCCCCTTCGGCTGTGGGCCCTGCCAGAAGTGTGACACTTACAGCGTTCGAATGACGGTCTGAAGGAGCTTAATCACCTAGTAGTGGTGGTGAGGAAGGACGTGTTGTGATCGAGCAAGATGGAGCTGACGACAGCGCGACAGCGGACGGCGAGGAGCGGGAGTATCCTGCAGGCTTGCAGGCAGGCAGGCGGTGTAGGTGCGCGTGAGATGCGTAGGTACGGTGGATAGGTGCGCAAATCGCTGGTGGCAAGGAGGGGCGCAGGGCAGTATGTAGGAGCGCTATAGTAGCGCGTATAATCTCGGAACGACGGAAGTGGTATAGTGGTACCACATATCCTCACTCTCAAGACGTCTATACAGCGTATAGAACATCTGCATAGGCTTGCTTTCATGTCACTGTCTACGCGCGAACGCGGGATGGTATTGCAGGCAGATTGTCGGGACTGTAATGCCAAAGCCCGGAAGTGAGCAGCTGACAATCGCTCGGATCCACTTGGAACAGATCGCAGTCCAGTATCGAAGCCGTTGTGGCCTGCTAGTGCTGCAAGGTTTGGATGGATCCAATGCGAAAGACAAGTGAGGCAGAGGTGCAGAGCGGTCAGTGAAGTCAGAGATGCGCGAAGCACAAGAGGTTGAATTGCGGAGAGGTGATTCCATCCATGATGAAGCGACTCGTCAGTCCCAATCAATTTGGACCCATGCATCTTCGAACCTAGCCATACTGCTTCCAGTACTCGCACCCGCGGATAGTCTTCGCAAAGTCCTTGACGTGAGTGCTGTGGCACCAGGGCTTGATGCGCATCTCCTCCTCGACAGTCTCCGCAAAGCAGCCGAGCCACCCCTCGCGGGAGAACTTGTCGTTCACGCTCTCCCTAGTCTTCTCGTGGATGATGCCAGGGTGAGCGCCAATGTTGTCGTAAAGCGTGGCGAGCTGGATCACCTGCCCCAGCAACGTGATGTTGCCCTCTGTGCCGAGATCCTGGTGCCGGATGACGGTCTCGGACACGGCTTCGGCCTGGTCCTTGTCACCGCCCGATTCGTTGATCATGTTCAGCGCCAGGATGCCGCCGTACAGGTCAAAGGACATGCGCGTCGAGTGCATGTTGGCAGGTGTTGCGCCAATGTCGTGGAGCAGCGACGCGAGGGCAAGCGTGTCGAGGGAGATCGTGGTGCGGAACTGCTGGGTCGTGATGGCGTAGCCTGCTGTTAGCCTGAGTGATGCGAGCGCCGCGTGCAGACGAGCAGTGTTGAGCGGTGCGAGCCGAATCGCACGGGTCTGCGCATGAGTAGAGGGTAGCCCGACCAGAGCTCACCCCCAGTCCATCCGACTCAATCTCAATGACAGGCAGACTCGTCCACGCCATCGACCACGCTTGTGCAGGCACTCACAGTAGTAATAGACGCGCATAGAGTGGTTGTACACCTTCTCAGGCAGCTTGTCCTTGCAGATCTGGTGGATCTTGTCGACGACGTCCGACTTGGGCCAGGGGATGTCACTGATATCGAGCGGCTCAGGTGCGTGCACATATTCCTTGCCGTGGAGGATCTTGGCCGGGTCGACGGGGACGGCGGTCCAGCCGTTCTGCGCCTCGGTCGCTGCGGACTTGGAGCTCATGATGTCGTTGTCGTTGCCGGCTTCCGTAGTGTGATGAGGTCAAAGGAGAAGCAAGGAAAAGGTGCGGTTGAGGAAAGTGAGAAGGGAGATGCGAGCAGTGAGAGCGGGAGTGGGCAACGCGGTGTCTTGCTTGTGAGAACTCCTGGAGCCTAAATAGCCGGAATCGGACTCAACGTTGAGTGGTAGTTCGCGGAGTCGACGGCGCGTCATATGCCGATCCGAGTCGGTCACCTGACCACGCAGGTGCTTGGTCATCCGTTAGTGCCCTCATGCGACCGCATGCGACAGCTTGGTCATCATCATCCCTAGGGCGCTCAACGTCGACTGCGCTTCTGCACGAGCCTCATACAGCCTCGATCCCGCGGAGTGCATGCTGTGGACTCGGCCGTAAGCTATCCTCAACAACGACATAGTGACTGTGACAGTTGGAACGGTCGGCTAGCCTGATGATGTCATAGAGAATTCGCCGCCTTCGAGTGTCCATCCATCGGCAACTAAATCACCCACTGACCCGATCCAGCCCTTGTCCTCATCTGAGATCGAAGGAACACGAGATAACATGTGATCTAACTAATACAGCAGCTTTCGGAACAGCCTCTCGTTGTCCTTTTGCACCCTCCTCACTGTCGACGGTGACCACCACTTCTTCCCTGCCTTGTGAGTGCTCTGGGCGGCGGCCTCGCCGAATGCCGCGACCCACGGATCTTGGCCCAGGCGCAGGTGTCTCAACGCCTCCGCAGGCCGCATGCCCATCGGGCGCAGGAGGTACGCCGATGGGTCAAGGTAGGTGTACGCTTCCACGATTGGTACGGTGGCGAGGAGGGGTGTCTGGAGTCAGCTGACAATCAACCGTCGGGAAGCTGGATGGAAAACTGAAGGGCCTGGGGGGTTATACTCACCTGCGCCATAACGGCTGCCGGGATGGAGGCGCTCGCGCGCTCAGTAACGTACCGCTCGTTCCGGAATGCGGGAACAATGATGTCCTGCCTGTCAGCTGAATGGCTTTCGACCGCACTAGGAAGCTCAGAGTAGACTAACCATTTGCCCGATGAGACGGTAGTACTCGAGCGTGTCCACACCTTCGTGCAACTTGAGCGCGCCACTGTCAACCAGGGCAGAGGGGAACTGAAGGTCCTGCTCCTTCATGCCCACCAGGTGGAGCGTGAAGGCGTCGTCCTGGGGCGCCAGCTTGCCGTCGGAGAGCACATAGCCCCAATCCTCGGGGTTGGCTGGATGTCAGCTGAAAACCCTATCAAAGAGAGCTGGCGGGACGCGTGGCCGTGTTGGGAAGGGGGGGAGTGACTTACCCATTATGCTTCTTTCGAGGTCTGAGAGGAGACCCTCATAGTCGCGGTTGCCCTGTGAGATGCGGCCCAGCACGCCTGCGTGACGTACTCTTCTTGATGGCTGATATCAGTTAACCTGTTCCTCAATGAAGCTCACTGGTTCCTTCCTTCGAACACTGAGTGGAAGAGTGAACACCTGCGATGTCAGTATTTACCAAGTCATCGAAGCCGTCCCTGTCACCTTCCTCTTTCCTGCCTCTGCTTAGTGGGATGAAAGACCCAAACTCACCGGCGCATAATCATAGACCTGCACGCCCTCCCACTCCCACTCGTCCTTCGCCCACCTCTGCAGTTGACGACGAAGCAGGTGTGCCGTGTGTGCACCGAGTGCCAGCATTGAGACTCGGTCTCGGACAGGGAGCAGGTGAGCCTTCACCTCGTCGCGGCCAAAGTACTCCCCCTCATGCAATGTGCACAGCACGCGAGCTGTCGAGTTGCCGAGCGCCGCCCAGATCGAGTCGTGGTTGTGCCAAAACTTGTCATCGCCTGGCGTCAGCTGAGAGAAGCTTTCCAAATAGCTGGATATGAGTGGGGCAAAAGTCTCGGGGGTGGCGGAGGCTGCATGAACGACGAGACGATCGCAGTTCTTTCCACCGCCCTGATGCCGTGATCGCCGCCGAGACGGAGGTGTGTAGTGAGGGAGGGAGGACCTACAAGTGTTGACAATGACGACGTCGAACATGTTCGCCTCCAGGAGAGGCTTGACTTCCTCGATGCGCGCTGGCTCCGGCTCTTGCAATAGTTGTTCGAGTTCGGTCCATTCTCCAGCGACACCTGATGTTAGCTTAGGCAATTCCCGCTCTCAGCCTTACGGTACATGTGTGGCTCGATGTGGAGGCTGCGCAGGATGGAGAGAAGGGCACCGAAGACCTCTGAGCGTTAGCGGCATCGCGGATCAGGAGAGCAACTAGCGAGAACGAGAAAGCTAGGAGAGCTGTTGCCAGACGGGGTGGCAATATCAGAGAGGGAAGGGTGTCGAAGTTCCGGTGACGTTGTAGAGCACGGCGACGGGACTCGCAACAAAAACCCCTGTGCGAGGAGGATTTTCCACAGGCGACACCACAACGACCAGCAGCAAGGATCACGAAGCAGAGAGCAGAACTCACCTGAATGATATGATGTCGGTTCGAGGATGGCGACGCGCGGTTTGTCCTTCCCGAGATTGCTGAGTCGATCCAGCGCTGGGAGAGAGTGCAAGGAGTCGGACGTCGTGGCCGTGAACAGCGACCATAGACCGAGCAGGCCAGCGGCGGCGAGGAGCAGCGCTCTCTTCCAGAGCAGAAGGAGCATTCCCGGTTCTTTTGAGTTAACTGAGTTGGTGAAGTCAAGTCAAAGTTGCAGCTGACAGTGCTAAGCAAGCTGGATCAGACTCCAACGAGTCGAGAGGACGCCCAAAGGAGGGTCCAGGAGGAGTGTGGGCGGGGCGCAGGCTGATCGCAGTTGCGCGGGGTGACTCCCCTGCTGTGCATGTTTCGTCGCCTGGGACACTTAACGCGGCCATAGTGCCTTGAAGTGCCCTTGCAGTATGCATATGCACGACCTTGAGCTTATGATGCATGCGAGTGCCCCAAGTGGGCGAGTGGATCGTGTGAGAGAGAAGGGGAAGGGAGGGCTGCGAGTTGAGCAAACGGACCCCGGATGGTCCTGAGTGGACATGAAACACACCCCAAACAGCTGACCGACACCTGCACGCTTCGCTCTGTTGCCATTCTCTCAGCTCTCAGATCACAGGCAGCAAGTTCAGATCACGTACACCTCCTTCAAGCCCCTGAGCGTCGCTCGGATGCGCGTACGAAGCACGGAGCAATGTTGATGAGCAGAGCGGCCCTCGCGGGCGGAAGCCCTCGCTTCCCCACTTCCCGCTCGACCTTCGGGCACGTCGAATTATAATGACCATGCCGGCAGACTCGGACCTGCGGGGCGGAACACAATTGCCTCGAATTGCGGCGCAAGGCACACGAGCTCTCACCGAACCCCATCGACCCCACTGTTCAGCGCTCGACGGACATCCCAAAGGCATGCTTGGCATCGGTGGGGGTGCCCGCCGCGGGCATCAGTCAGTCAATCTCGAAGGGATGACCAGGATGGCATGATGGGAAGGAGGGGTCGGCGCACGAGCTGCGCCCAAACCCTCGCAGCAAGTCGTCCTCCCCGTCCTGCTGGTGATGTCAGAGGCTACTGAACCTTTCTCTTCTCCCGGGGTTGCTTCCACAGATGCTTTGCACCGCCATGCACAATGCGGCCAGTGACTCGACCCGAAAGATGGGATATTCAGGAAACCACCGAAAATGGCGTCGACTTGAGACACGAGCCTCGCCTTGGGGCGGCTGCGGCGGGCAGGATCCTGGGCTGCGGGCTTAACGGACATACACTGATCTCCGGCCACATGGACAGATAGGCCTGCTTCGAGTCCCCGTGCCTTGCGAAATTTGCCGCCGACATGATCCGAGCCTGTTTGCTAGAAGTCCGACACCGAGGGCTGCCCTTCTCCACAACATCGATACAAACGACATGGGCAAGCGCGCCGAACAAGCCAAGAAGCGGAAACGCCAGAACGTTGCCGCCCCTGTTGCACCGGCAAAGCGGCCGGCTCACGACCTCCCCACTCCGCCCGCCGAAGAGCTCCTACTTCCCGAGGAGATTGAGTCCGCCGTCGATGTCCTGCGTACTCTCGCTGCCAACCCAAGCTTGCTGCAGGGCAAGGATATGAAGGACCTGAAGCGGGGTGTCTATGACCTGCACCGCGTCATGGCCGAGGGCGCCACCCTTGGTGCGAGCTTGACATCGCGCATCTCGGCCGCCCTCCGAGACTATCGATTCACGGACGCCCTCGTGCTTCTCTTCGAGATGCACGCGCGGGCTCTGCCTCCCAAGCTCGGCGCGCTCCAGCGTTGGGTCCGCGAATGTGATGCGACGTCCAACCCCGATGGAACTCCAGGCGACCCCGAGGCGCTGCGGTGTCTCGACATGATTCTGCGTATTGCTGGCGACACGGGCCCGGAAGCGCGCGAGCGTGGTGAAGGCGAGGTCTCTCGAGCACTCGTGAAGAGGCCGAGGGTATGGACCGCCCGCGGACCCGTGGAGGGCGAGATAAGTCTCTGGCCGCTCATGCGTTCCGAGACGCTGTTCGACATCCCCCCGACACTGCCCTACCCCGGCTTCAAGTCTGTCCACTTTGTGCGCGCACACGAGCGCCGTCCGCCAAACCTCTACGATTCCACTGTCTGGGGTTCCGACGATGGTGCGATCCGTCTCACGCCCTCCGCTCAGCGACGCAAGCCGACCAAGCTCGACGTCCCAGGCCTCCCTGGCGCTTTCCTCGTTCTTGACGTGTTCACACCCGACGAGTGTCTGCAGATTGTGCGCGCCGCCACAGCGCACGGTTGGGAGAAGGACCAGGCCGCTGAGGGATCTGCGACGCAGAAGACAAGTATCCTCGCCCGCAATTTCGTCTGGCTGGCCGATCACCAGTTCCATGACCACTTCTACAACCAGATCAAGGAGTTTGTCCCCCAGCGCGCACCTGACGAGGAGGGGCGGCTCGGACAAGGAGGCCGAGTGCGGGGTATCAACAGGAGGTTCCGCGTGTACCAGTACACTGAGAACCAGCTTTACAGGGTGAGTTGAGCGCAGCCGGCTGTTGTGTCCTCCAGGATGCCGCCGTCGTATAGCTACATTACGGAGCAAGTTTAGCTAACCCTCAGCCCCATATCGATGGCGCCTGGCCCGCTGCCGGCCTCTCCCCCACCGGCGAGTACATGCACGACTCGCAGCCCGCCGACGACCCGCTTTGGTCGCGCTACACCCTCCTCGTCTATCTGAACGGAGGCAGCGACATCCCCGATGAGACTGGGTGCACCACCTTTTTCACACCCAGCCCAGAGGTGGGCGTCATGGACGCGCACTCCGTCCGCCCCGTTCAGGGAGCAGTGCTTTGTTTCCCGCACGGCGACACGCACGGCTCGCTCCTGCACGAGGGCTCCGCTGTCGGACCTGACGGAGGCAAGCTCGTCATCCGCACGGATCTGTTGTACGAGGCTAAGGGGTATGGGCAGTTCAAGCCGCCCACGGACTAGAGACATAACGAAAACAACCATACAATCTGTACCATTACACGCAAAAAACGAACGCCGGGCAGGCGGCTATAGCATGTTGTTGATGTGAATCTGACTTAATCTGACACCGTGAACCTTGAAGCACCCACTTCTGACAGACAGACGCAAACAATTCAGACTATCTGGCACCTCCCGCACTTGAGGCAGCCGGTGTGCTACCGGTCCTGCAGCTCTTCAGGTCGTTGCGACCATATATCCAGACGCGTACTACGCTAACAGATCAGCGCCGAAGCCGCTTCCCGCCTCAGCCGCGCCTCGGAACTCCGAACACAACAGGCGAGATGGCCGAGCGGTCTAAGGCGCTGTGTTAAGGTGTACCCCGACTCCGAGCAATCGGATCCTCGGAGCTCCTCCGCAGTCTTCGGACGTGGGTTCGAATCCCACTCTCGTCAAGCGGGCATTCACTTGCCTCCTTACGCCAACCTTTTGCATCCCAAAAGGCTCAAAGTTGGTGGAGAGAGTCGAGGAGAAGGTGGTTGGTGGAGACGGGGGCGAGCCTCCTGCCGCGTGACCTCTTGTGGGGCCCCGACATTTCCTCTCACACAGCGCAGCCCGTTCGAGAGCCCGAGGCTGAGCTCCGCATGCTCCGAGACAGCTTAGTTTATTAGTGCGTCGCGGAAAAGCTCAACGTCTCGATCGCATCGCTCTCTGACTCTTGATGTTTCTTGCCACTCACACCCATCAAACAAGCTTGCGCCCTTGACCCCTCGAGCACCGCATGCCCTCGGCGTCCCCGGTCACTGAATCCACACTCAAGTCATCCGCGGGCAAAGCCCGCAAAGCTCCACTCACCGATGTTGCGGCGGAGACGGTCGGGACCTATGTCCGCTTCCGGCGGTCGGGGGAGCTGCCGCCCCAGTTCCTGACGCACGCGCAGCGCGCCCTCTACCGCCTCGTGAACCTGCCCACCTGGCCTGGGGGCCAGCTCTCGAGCCTGAACGGGGAGATGGAGGCGATCGTGAACTGGCACGTAAAGGATATGACGCCGGGCGACGTCGAGGCGCGCGTCTTGGTGTCGATGAGGCGGGATCTGTCCTCTGTCCGGCCTTTCAGTACGTCGCCACGGGACGAAGGGTGTAGATAGACCCAAGCGCTGACAGGCAGACGGAATAGCGTACAGCGAAACAAGCGTACAGCGAACTCTGGCGCGATCCCGCCCCAATCCGGACGAGAGACTGCTGCCGCGCTCGTGTTCCGGCTCGTCGACGGACTCGAGCTCGACCGCGTTTCCCGAGACAAGCCCGGACCTCAACATAGCGCTCGAGTGGGGCTCGTTCGCGGTCCACTCCCTCGTCACGGCCCACAAGCTCGGCGAGGGCGATCCAAGCGACGTCAGTGCGCGCCTCGCGCTGGCGGAGAATCTGGTCCAGTTGGCCAGTGCGCACGAGGCGTTCGGGACGGCCCTGGGCGCCGTGCTGGTTAACGGCACTTACGCCCGGCTGCTCGTGCTCCGGCCGGGTCTTGTTGCCGTGGAGAACACGGCTGGGGCCGGGTCGAGGCGGGAGCTGAAGGAGGCTCTGGCTGGAACGGAGGCTCAGAAGGCGCAGGGGACGCAAGAAACGCGAGAAACGCAAGAGCGACAGGGATCGCAGAGTGTGGCCGATTTCTGCAACAACGCACGCGTGGGCAGCTGGCCGCACCAGCTCCGAGCCACCGAGCTTGACAGCGCTGGAGCATACTTGGACTGGGCAAGGCGGGCCGTGGACCAGCTGAGGCCGTATAGCGTGCACCACGCCCCGGGCCGACTGGCCTTTACGCCATGGCACGGCGACCGCGTCAACGAGGACATCGACGGGGACGCTACGCCGAAAGCCTCCGCGACACAGCTCCCGGAAGAGGAGCCAGCGACGGATGGGAGAGACGCGCCACAGAGCGAAGACGCACCCGACGAGAAGGAGGAGGAGGACGAAGACGACGACGGGCTCCCCCTGGGCGCCACAGCTCGGAGCTTTAGCTTCGCGCGGACGATGCGGATCTTGACGGACTCTCTGCGGGACTGGCGTGTGGTCGCTGTCAGCCCGGGGTTGATAGAGCAGCTGGCGGAGCGCGTGCTGGGATGATGCGACCTGCTGTATGTTGTACCAATGCATTGCTAGCATCACTAGATCAAGTCGAGGTTGCATCCCGCAGTGGTCCAACCAGCAGAAGGCGTGCTGCGAGTCGCTTCGTTGGTCGCACTCCTCCACTCTTGATCACCGCCACGCCGAGCACCTTCACCTCCAGACCTCGGTCAAACTGCAGCAATCTCTGCCTCTCCAAAGCACATACACTGCTCCCTGTCCTGCTCAGCGGCACCCCCAGAGCCCCAGGCTCCGCGCTGCGCCCGCAAAAGCGTAGGCAACCTCCACCACGCGAAACCACCTCCGCCATCAACCCACCCACCATCTATCTTCCTTCTTCCAACTTTTCTTCGTTCTTCGACACCTTTCCGACCTCCTATGCATGTCCAGAAGAGCCAAAAAGGTCACGACGGGGATCGAACCCGCAATCTCCTGATGTACTTGAATCCCCGAGATGATCTCAGCGATCGAGTCGTAGTCAGACGCCTTGCCATTGGGCCACGCGACCGGGGATGAAAGTTTTGTAGGCAGCCTGGGTAAGTCTTGCCCAGGGTTCAGAGCGCCATGTAGGGACTCTTCAGTAGCTTGCGCATCCTTTGCGGCTCTCTGAGAGCAGATTGGAGGCTCGGAGGCGTAGATAGGAGGCTTCGGAGTAATGTTGAAAGGGGACGGAGTTCAGGGAGGTGAAGATTTTCAGCAAGCGATCATAACCAGGTAGGCCTCCTTATCTTCGTCACGCGAACTCTTTCAACCTTATGCATGTGATAAGCGGCACTCTGTACGTCTGGAGTGCTTCTCTATCGAGATGCAGGGTAGCATCGCCCGTCAGAAGCAGAGCAGAATGGTGGTATCTCCCCTTAGCTGCATTGCCATGCCCCTCGGCGTATGGACGGAGCCGCCGACCCATCTCCCTCCTCGGTTCACCCGCTGAGTGTCGCCCCTCTGCCGCACGCCATCTGCAGCTCACAAATGGGTGTGCTGTGAGTCCCAGCTACCCTGCGCACATCCCGGAGAGCGCTGAGTAGTCCTTTCCGGGCGTCTGCGCCTGGCCGAGGGCAGTATGCGCGAATCAACAAGTCATCCCCGCTTTCCAGGGCTCTCTTTCAAGCCACCCCCACAATGTCAAGGAGTAATGTCGATCCGAACTTGTCAGACCAAGTTCGTTTCCATAACCCGTCAGACTGCCAGCTACTCTGAGCACCCGTGCCACCATCACTCTGATACAGGCACCTCCTTAGGCGCAGCAAAAGCTGACGAAGGTGGGATTCGAACCCACGCCCGAAGACTAGAGAGACCTGCTGGGAGCCCGTGGGAGCTTCGCAGATTGTGTTCCAGATTCGCCTGGATCTAGCGCCTTAGACCACTCGGCCACTTCGCCGGCTGCACAAAGCGTGCACGCAAGGCGGTGGGTGGCATGCAGCCGTTATACAGCTCGGAAATTGCCTGAAAATAGCGCACGCGCTGCTCTTGGCCGGTGCTCATGACTGTGATCTAAGGTGATTAGCGTGGTCGATCACATTGCCGAACTAGTCTAGTGGCAGGGGAGGTTGGTCATTGCTGAACCGGTCGCGTGCTCGTACGAGAGAGAGGGCGATGGGCGCCCGGCTGTCGGACTCATCGGCGGTATGGGCACGATGCATTCCTCAGCACCTGGGTATAACAATGCAAGTGGAGACGTTACCGGCCGAGCTGCTCGCTTGCGGCGCTTATCATGGAGATCGAAAGCGACGCAAAGCGAGTAGTCGTGCACAGCGTACTTGTGGACCGAGATCATGACGAATTGATCCAGATGACCACCACACCACGCCCAACAACTTGCATCACTTTCCTATACATAACTCATGCACTTCTCCACATGAAGTCCATCCCAGGTCTGGAACATCCACAACCGTCGTCGGGTGTGCGGAATCGACCTCAATTTGGGCATCAGGGGTCTCGGGGCAGAAACCCGGTGAATATCGGCCGAAATCAGTCAAATCACGGGAGCCGCTGCTATCTGATAACTCACGCGAGGCACACCCGCCAAGACTTCGGCCGGTCTGCGTTTTGTCGTGGGTCATGCGCAGCCAGACGACCATCGCATGACTTGATTGGGTTCGAGAAAAAGCGGGCAACGTTGCATCTGACCCTTGTGACCCTCACTGCTCCATTCACCATCCCCAACGCCATGCCCAGCAGCGACAAAGACGCGAAAACTCACTCCGAGCCCGACGCCGACCGTGCGCTCGGCGTGATGCCGAACCTGAACCAGGAGAGGGTGGAGACGGAGGCGGTCTCCCCGGGTGTGCTTCGCATCAAGGCCATGGTGGCCGTGATGACGCGCGGGGACTTTGCACTCCTTTGCCTTGGCGTCTTGCTCGTCGCCTACATCCGCAAGTGAGCTTTGCGACTGGCTGCCACTGACGCACAGCCTGAGCGCACTGGTGATGACGCCGTTCCAGGCTGCAGCCATCTCCAGCTGGAATGCAGCCCAGCAGACAGCAACCATCAGCGTTGTCTACTCTGCCTGCGCAGCATCATCGCAGCCCGTTTGGGCCAAGATGATGGACTACTTTGGTCGTCCCTTTGTGGTCTACGCCAGCTTCCTGTTCTACGTTGTCGGGTGTATTATCATGGCAGTCTCGAGCAACGTCGAAACCATGTGCGGAGGCAGGGCAATCTATGTCTTTGGCTACGGGGCCCAGAATTGTAGGCTTCACAGAAGGGCTGAAACTGACGCACAGTGTTCCTGTATGTCATCATTGCCGACGCCACAAGTCTGCGCCACCGTGTTCTCTTCTCATCCCTGGTGTAAGTGACCCAAGTCGCTGCGGAGTGTTGACGAAGAGGTACCTCCCGAACATCATCAACGTATGGGCAGCCGGCGTGGTAGGCGCCAAAACCCTGTCGAACGCCGGGTGGCGTTGGGGATACGGCATTCAAGCACTCGTGTACCCTGCTGCGCTCGCTCCGTTCGTCGTCCTCATGACCAGGCTGATCTTGCGCGCGCGCAAGAGAGGTACCGTTGCCAACATCCCCACGACCGGCGCACTCCTCAAGAAGAAAAGCATGTGGCGTGACATCCTGTGGAAGGCGGACGTGATCGGCCTGTTCCTGCTGTCAGCCGGTATCGCGCTCACTCTCATCCCACTCACCCTCGGAGGAGGCACTTCGGCGAAGTGGAAGACGGCCCCGGTGCTGGCTCCTTTCCTGATTGGTATTGTGGTCGTGGTGCCTGCCTTCATTTACTGGGAGACCAAGGCACCGTACCCGATGCTTCCCTTCTCGCTACTGCGGCAGCGCCACATCGTCCTGTCTCTCTTATCTGGCTTGCTGTCCACCATCACCGGTGCTCAGCAGAGTACGTACCTGTACTTCGCTCTTCAAGTCGCGTTCGGTCAAGGTGTCGAGGGTGCTACCCGCATCTCAAAGTTGTCAACGTTCTCGTCGTCGCTCACCGTTGTCGTCCTTGGCTTGGTACTGATGTACGTCCGCCGACCGAAGCCGTTCGCGATCGCTGGTGCCTGCCTCTACGCCGTCGCGTATGGCCTGCTGTACCACTTCCGTGGAGGACACGACAAGGGAACGCTCGGTGGCCTGATTGCCGGAGAAGTCATTCTGGGAATCGGAAGCGGGCTGAACCAGAACGCTGTTCAGGTCGGCCTACAGGCGGCCGTGCGCCACGAGAACCTGGCGATTATCACCGCCACCTACTTCTGCATGTTCCAGATTGGAGCCGCCCTGGGAGCTGCAATCACCGGCGCAATCTGGACGAACACAATGGAAGCGAGGATCCGAGCTGGGCTCGAGAGTGTTAACGCGCCGAACGCTGCGACTCTCGCGAAGCAGGTGTATGGGAACCCCCTCAAGTTTATTCAGCAGTACAAGCCCGGGACGGAGCTTCGCGCAGCAGTTGACGAAGCCTATCGCTCAGAGATGCGTCTGCTGTGCATCTCGGGTTTGGCTTTCAGCGCAGCGCTCGTCATCGTCTCTCTCTTCATTGGAAATCCGGTGCTCACCGATAAACGTTCCGTCGAGGATGACGACACCGACGACGAACTTCCCAACATCGCTGGCAGATCCCCGACTAGCTCGCACAGCGACCAATATGCAGTGGAGGACAAGGAGGTCACTCAGCAGGCCAAAGCGTGGGGTGGCCGTGGAGCTTAAGGTTAGCATTAGTCCGTCTACAATTCTGCAGATGGCACCATCATTCCAATGTGCGGTATTCACGCTATGCACGCAATGAAAGAAGAGGACTTGACGGCCCGCTCTCGCTTGTAGATAGAGTGCAATTCCACTGTGCGGAATCGCAGCACATGGTGTAGACAGAGTTCATGTCGGCGCTCAGGCCGTGACGATTGGAGCACGAATGCACTAAAAAGCCACTAAACTGACGAAACTTACGAAGTTTGTCCTGTTATTGAATTAGCCCGGAGACCGGGCCCGGCGGTCGGTCCGCGTGGCCGCACCCCCGGTGCGATGGCCGGGCTCGGTGATGCGGCGCCCTCGCCGCTGCCGGTACACCGGCACATAGGCAGAACTGGCTAAACTCCAAGCCACTGACGCACGCATAGCACGGGATGGCACCACGAGCCCATCGTTGTCCCTGCTCCGTGATCAGCATCGGTGCCTTCGGCGAACATTGATAGCGTCAGTTATCAGAGATAGAACATGGGGTTCGGATATACGATGATCAGAGGTTCTGTGCTCCCCTGATCGAACCCTAACGCTAACCTCCGAGGGCGCTCGCTGGCCAACCGCACGATAACGACGTTGAGTCTGGAAAGGCATACTCGCCGTATGAGCACGCGTGCCGCTCGTACAGAACAGTGACCGTCAACCCCACTGGAACGTAGCCCTACCAACGCCTCCGTTCTGAGCACAGCATTGTCGGCCGGTCAGGTATAAAAGAAGGGTGTAAAGCTGGCTTCAAGAAACCTCAAGCTCCCCAAGCTTTCCGTACACACCCAGCTTCAGCTACCCAGCATGGCTTCCCGCATTTGGCTTGCTCTCCTCCTCTTCCAGCTCGCAACCGCAGCTCCCACCCCTGCCGACGGAGCTGTCGCGGCACGCGACGTCGAGGCATTCAGCGCTCGTGACACCCTTCTCGAGCGGGACGGTGAAGAGAATTGGTCGAAGTATGGTACCAACAAGAACTCTCCTCTCATCGGTACCCCTGCCCGCGAGCCTCGCGCTGGCGTCGACTACGTCAAGGCTCTTCTGGACCCGACCAAGCAGCCTGCTCTCTTCAAGGATTCCCCTTGCGACTATGCGTACTCGCGCCAGGCCACGTCGGGCCCCCTTAACCTCTGGGAAAAGGGCTCATCCCCCCTCGTGGACACCAACGTCGCCCAGGGCGGTGTCGGTGACTGCGGCTTTGGCTCTTCGATTGGCGCTATTGCCCTGACTGGCCACTCCCAGTACTTGAAGGACCGCGTGAAGGTTAACGGCACGACTTGGGAATTCAAGTTCACGTGGCTGGGTAAAGACCATATCGTCCGCGTCGACGACCAGCTCCCCGCCAAGATTGGTGGACCCGATTGGTGCAACCGATTCCTGGGCTACCAGCCCGCCGGCCCTTCGAAGTCCTGGTACGTCCCGCTTGTGGAGAAGGCGGCCGCCAAGCTTCTGGACGCATACCCCGAGATCAGGTCTTATCCCGACCAGCCCGGAGGCTACAACGCTATGCAAGGCATCTGGCCCCACAAGGCGCTGGAGATTCTCACGGGCCGCAGTGGTAAGAGGCTCAATCGCGAGTTTACCGGTCTCGACGACAATCTCATCAAGGCCCTTGAGAAGTGCCTTACCGGTCCCGAACCGTGCGTGGTTGGCACGCCCTCTGTCGAGTACGGCGACAATTTCCTCGGCAGTGCTAGCTTCAATGGTGAGGCATGGGAAGTGCCCGACGGAGCGCCGTTTGTTTCTGGCGTCTTTTCGAACTCCACGTCCGCGCCCGATTTCTGGGATTCCATCGACTACGACCTTAAATCGGCCCACAACACCATCGTCCCATCTCACGCTTGGGCCATTGACAAGAGGAACACGAACTATACCCCTGGCGCCGATATTCGCAAGGTCAAGGTCCGCATCCTCAACCCCTGGGGCAAGAATGTCAAGCCCTGGGCTCAGACTAATGCCATCAACGCCATCGACATTTCGTTCTCTACGCTTGTCAGTCTCATCACCGCCCTCTTCACTGTTGAGGACATCTGAGTCAGTCCATTATAGTCATTTGAGAGCTGCCTGTCGGCCGGCCATCATATGGCCCAGATAAGTTCGCGGCGAGGTGAGGTATAGCAGAAGTGAGAAGCATGCAAAGTAGTGGAATCCTGACGCCCTATGAGCCGATACTTACTCATGTAGTGGTCAAATGATGATGGTCGATGCGGCTCAAGAGCCACTAGTTGTTGATGCGGAAGAGCGATGACGTGGGGGGAAAAAAGGGAAGGGGTAACAGAACGCGCGCTTTGGAGGACTGAAAGCAAGAGAAAGCAAGAGGGTGTCGAAGAGACGATTCGAAGAGACGACCGTCAACCTCTGGGTATTCGCTCCAGCCTTAGTGAGTTACGTGGAAGTAGTCGGCCGTTAAAAATTCAAGTCACGCAGGGGAACGCATACGTGGAAAAAACAAGAGTGAGAGGAGGTACAGATGCGGGGCTGAACACGGGGTGCACTGCGAGTTGCCTCCCCTCCACCTCCACCTCCACCCCCACCCGCACCTCCACCCGACACCCTCTGTGGCTCTCTGGATTTCGCGAGTTTCCGATGAAGTTCGCACGTATCCACGCGTCAACAGTATGCAGACGCACTAAAACCACGCGCGAAATATTCCATAACCCATTAAGTACAACTTTACTCGATAAACCTAAATGTGCCACCTGAACGCCGGGTTCTTCCAGTCGAGGTCCTGGATCTCTTTCGGCGACTTGCCCTCCAGGAACTGGTGAACGTCGACCTTGGACCTCCTCTTGTTGTCTGCCTTGAGGTAGATGAGCAAGGCGACGGAGGTAAGGAGAATGGTTGCGTTGCCCGCGAGGTTGAGGCCATTACCGATGGGGTAGTTGGGACTGTCGTTGGGGAGGAAGGACCAGGTGGAGATGAGACCGCCGATGTTGCCGATCATGACGTTCCAGCCGATCGCTGTCGAGCGTGCGCTGTCACTGAGCACGTTGACGGCCGCCTGAGCATTGCAAAGACAGCCGAAGGGGAAGGCGCCACTGACGATGAGGAAGACAGCGGCATAGCGCGCTTTGCCGTCGCCGGTGTCTGTCGCGAGGAACATAATATAGCCGATAATCGGAAGACAGGCCGAGATGATGAAGATCGGAAGACGCTTGTTGATCTTCCAGCTGATAAAGGGAACAATGAGGTTGACCGCGAAACCGACCATGTACGGCGGCACGGTCCACAGCTGCTTGCGAATGACCGAGGCGTTCGGGTAGATGGTGGCGATGATGGTAGGGGTGAAGAAAGCAATACCCTGCACTGTGATGTTGACGAGCAGGAAGATCCAGGACACAGCCATCGTGTTGGGGTTCACGATGCCTCTTACGAGCTTGGTCTTGTCGAGTTTCTCGGTGATCTCGGTGGTTGACACGTTCTCGCTCTTCACGCGGGCAATCGCGAGCGCCTTCTCCTCCGCAGATAACCACCATGCAGTAGAGGGGTGGTCAGTCATCGTGAAGTAGGAGATAATCGCCAGGCCCATGGTGATGATACCCTCAACGAGGAACAGCGAGGGCCACCCGTGCAGACTGCCGATTTTGAGGGTGACGAGTCCTGACGCAAGCAGGCCACCGAACCCGCCAGCAAGCGGAGCCATGGAGAAGTACAGCGCGAGACGGAAGACGAGCTCAGCCTTGCGGTACCAGCGAGAGAGGTAGTAGGCGATACCGGGGAGCACTCCGGCCTCGAAGACGCCGAGGAGAAAACGGACAGCGATGGCGGCGTGGAAGTTCTTCACGAAGGCCGTAGCGAGAGACATGAGCTGGCAGTTAGCATCTGAGACCTCGCATTGGCTTTAGACAGGTAGAGCAGGTGAGAGGTGGCCACAACGGCGCAAAAGCCTTTCGCCACATTCCTGCCACGAACATGAACACCACCCATCCACCGCCGAAAAAGTCGATTTCTGCGCGCATTTCGACACTTACGCCAAATCCAAGACATAGAAAAGGTATCCAGATCTTAGGGCCGAAGTACTTGCAAGCGACATTCGAAGGAATCTCGAAGAAAATGTAGGGAACATAGAAAACAGTGAGGAGGATGTTGTAATCGTACCCCTTCATCTTCAAGTCCTTCTCGAGCCCAGCAATCTTCGCGTTTCCAATGTTAGCCCTGTCGTTAGCTTCTGCAGCTTACACGACCACGTGTCGCCGCCAGACCCGCCTCGGTAGACGCGAAATCGCGAGCTCCATGTCACGTCATCCTCTTTCGACTCGACGATAGCGGTCTCCGGTCACTCCTTCGTTTTTTCTGACATCCTCTTCCTCTTTTCTCACTTCAGAAGACGTGTTCACTCACCGATCGATGAAACAGAAGAGGTAAAGCATTGCAACAGTCGGCACAACCCAAAGATCTATCTTGCGTAGAAGCTTTTTCTCGGCGACGGGGTCGAAATGGAAGAGAACTTGGCCATTTTCGTCGGTGACGGCGTGACCTCGCTCGGCCAATTCTTTGAGATCCGCAGTCACGGGCGAGCCCTTTTCGTTCTCAATCTGCAGGTCCTCGGCCTTGTAGTCGGGCGGTGGGCTGTCCACGGAGTGTTTGGACATGGTGAAGAGGAGGGTGGATGTCGGGAAGTGGTGATGGGCGGCGAGCCGGGACAGCCGGATGGCTTTATACGCCCTCCACCGGCAATCACGATTCCAGAGGGTTTACCGAAACCTGGAGAAGGCGCGACGCGGCTCCGCAGACTCCACTTTGGGTCGGTCGCCTGAGGTCCGAGTCCATTGTCTACGTTGGTCAGCTGTTGTGTTGATGAGAACGGATATCAGCTGAGGACCTGGAATCAACAGGGACATCTTTCACGATTCTGCGCCCGTTCTCGGTTACTGCCTACGCCCACCTGCCAGATCTGGACCGGCGGAGAGGGGCGTCACCCGGGAGGTTCTGGGTCTGAGCTGATGCGTAACTCCACATCCTCCGACCCGCGTCCCTGGCTCCCATGGTCTTGTTTCCCCGCTTGTCCTGGTTGTCCTCGCCAATGTCGTCTGGCTATTGGCTAAGGCACCGGCACCCCGGGTCTTGGCGCCCCACCCTTAGGCGGCCCCGCTTTTCTCCTCGTCGGCCCCAGAATTTCCATTATTTTCATGAAATGCCACACCTCAACACTGGAGCCCACCACGCCTTCAGCATGCCCATCCAGTCCGCTGGCTGCAGGCATGTAGAAGCACAGGTTTCACCTGCGTGGGGGTCCACGGCAACGCCGCCTCTTATGTCGATGCATGGAATGTCGGATGCCCTTGTGAAACACGCGATTTCCACGTGAAGAGCCCTGGCCGGAAACGCCGGCTGTTATCTGAGTTGCCCGCGGCAGCGGAGATCCCTCGGTGCTACCATTTCTGCCCACCACCACTCGGCGTCTCGGCGATCCCGCGGCCCACCCATGGCTTGCCTCCATAGGGCCGCGCTTTTTCCAAGCCGTTTCCAGAGTTCCAAGACTTGTCACGAGATGTTATGACGCCGGATCATGTGTTCGGCGAAGCATTGGGATTGCATAAAGTGACAGCGGAGTGAGTCTCCAACTCCCCATCAACCAGCACTCGAACTCCCGAACTCCAACCACAGTCGACAACACAATCACAATGGCTATCGACAACAAGAACCCCGAGTTCAAGCAGCTTCACGTTGCCAGTGAGTGAAACTTGGCCGTCGGCGCCACTCCACAGTTGGTCGCCACTGCGGAATTTGAGCTCGTGCGCAGCGCTAACCCTCAGTTGTTGGTGGCGGACTTGGTGGCATGGCCGCTGCTGTTGCCATGCGCCGCGCGGGCCACAAGGTCTCCATCTTCGAGCGTCGCGACTTCAAGGTCGAGGTCGGTGCCTCCATTTCATGCGCTGCCAACGGTGGCAAGTGGCTCCGCGAGTGGGGCGTCGACCCTCAGCGCGGCCGACCGGTGGAGCTCATGAAGCTTGTCATGCGCGACTGGGAGACCGGAGAGATCCTCAACCTTTACGACCTGCACGAGTACGAGAAGACCTGGGGAATCCCCTACTACATGTTCCACCGCGTGGACATGCACGAGATGCTCCTCGAGGCCGCTACCTCGCCCGATGGACCGGGAGAGCCCGCCTCTGTCGTCGTCGACCACATCGCCAAGCGCTGCGACCCTGAGGCCGGTATCGTCGAGTTCGAGAACGGTGAGGTCATCAAGGCCGACCTCGTTATCGGCTCCGACGGTATCCGCTCCATCCTCCGCCGCGAGATCGGCGTCACCCCCCAGACCCACTCGGCCAACCAGACCTGCTACCGCTGCAACGTCCGCAAGGAGGATCTCGAGAAGTTCGGCCTCATGCCCGACGCGACCGACCCCGCTATCCAGTTCTGGGGTGGTTTCGAGAAGGGCGACATCAACCGCTACTATAAGATTGTCATGTCTCCCTGCTCCGGCGGTGACGTTGTCTCGTTCTACTGCTTCATGCCGACCGAGATGACCAACCACACCCAGGAGGGCTTCGTCTTCGCCGAGGTTCCCGTCTCAGACATCATGGCTGGCGACTACAAGCGCCTTGACCCCACCGCCCAGAAGCTGATCGAGCACTCGATCGAGCGCATGCCCTGGCGCCTCTACGTTCACCAGCCTTACCCCACCTGGCACAAGGGACGTGTCTGCCTGCTTGGTGACGCCGCCCACCCCATGATGCCCCACCAGTCGCAGGGTGCCTGCACTGCCCTCGAGGACGCCGCCGCCCTCGGCATCATCTTCTCGAAGGACTACGGATTCACGAACAACGTCCAGGCCGGCCTCGACTTCTACGAGCACATCCGCAAGCCCCGCGCCACTCGCGTCCAGGCCGCCTCTGCCCGTGCTACCGAGAACCTCAACGAGCGCATCGGCTTCACCTCTCTCTCTGCCCCCGACGCCGCCCTCGCTGCCAAGAAGGGATACCTCACTGTCAACGAGATGAACGAGTACGACATGAAGGCCCACATCGCCTCCGAGGCTCACAACTACGGCAACCTCTTCAACGCCTCTCCTAAGGCCACCCCTGCCAACGCCAAGCTCGCCGCTGAGGCCCCGGTCCCCGCTACCGCTACCGCCTAATTGCACCACATAGCATTGCATAAAAGTTCGCCATTGTCATAGTATGGAAGAAGTCTCAGTAGTCTCTCCTGAATGTATTTCCGGTTATCACGTCTACTCCACGGTTGCATCATTGACTGCCTGTTTACTTCTCTCATAAGAGATCGTCCGGTTCCTTCCTCAACCATGTCTCATGACCACTTGGGCGACTAAGTGGAGCGCGCCGAGGCCTCACCACCATTTGCGTGCCTTCATTTGGAGCACGATGGGACGCCGGATCTTGCATACATTCCGTGCACTCACTACGGCGCTCCACCAGCCCCACTACTTACGCTCTGGACTGTGGTGACTAGCTTCACCAGCGCCGGCTTCCGCCGGCGCATTGGGAGAGTCACGTGAATCGGTCGCTATGGTGAGAAATGTCGGCCAATCAGAACACGAATCGAAAGTACATCCTCTATAATAGGTTACCTGTTAACTACGATCAGGTCCAACTTTGGACAGCCGTCCTGTACCTTGTGCCGAGATAAGCATGGCATGTAAGTCACGACAACATCCACACGTGGACATGTGCGCATATCGTGACGAACCGAAGTCTGGTGCACACGAGCGTCGCATAGGCATTAGCAATGGGCTATGACAGACAGCTCAGTCGGCACGCTCGGCAACACCGCGACGGCAGAGGGGCCGGGAACTCCGGGCTCGGCAACTTTTCGGATCATGTTATCACGGCCCAGAGTGAGTCTCCCACGTTCCGCACGGCCTGCTGCGATCCTGCAAGCCCCACTGCCTGTACCCCTGCATTCCTGCGCTCCTGCAGTAAGTGCCCACCCTCGGAGGTCCCGCTGCGCCACTGCACGGCAGCTGACCATGGTGACCAAGAGGTACCCGGGGGCTTGCTGCACATGACCAGGCCGCGGTAAAGGCGGGCAGTCTGCGAGCCGATATGTGGGCACACTCGGAGCTCCCGCGGGATCCCCATTTGGTACCCCGTTGGCGGGCCTGGCGACCAGGCGGGGTATAGCCCGTACACCCTGTACACCCGACTGATTTCGAATCACGGTAATCTGGGGGTGACTCCCATGTCCGGCTTCCTGCGGCTCAGCTGAGCGCATCGCGGGGGCCGCATGGCCGAGCCAGGTCTGCGTTGGTCGCCGGGGGTTGCGGCCGGGGTTGGGCAGACGTATAAAGTGTCCCGGATTGAGTTCGAGTGCCGATCAACCAGCCCCACTGGCACATCACTCACCGTCTCTCCTCCTCACCACCAACGATCAATCATGCGCGGAAAGGTTTCGCTTGAGGAGGCTTTCGAGCTCCCCCGCCTCGCTGCCCAGACCAAGGAGAAGGCCGAGCTCTACATTGCGCCCCAGAACCGCGAGCGCTACTTCGAGGAGATCACGAACCCCTGCGGTAACCGTCTCGAGCTCTCGAACAAGCACGGCATCGGCTACACGATCTACTCTGTCTACTCGCCCGGTCCCCAGGGCTACTTTGACCGCGCCGAGTGTGAGGCGTACGCGACTGAGGTCAACGACTACATCGCCAACGAGATCAAGGACCACAGGGACCGCATGGGTGCCTTTGCCGCGCTCTCGATGCACGACCCCAAGCAGGCGTCGGAGGAGCTCCGCCGCTGCGTTGAGAAGTACGGCTTCCTCGGTGCGCTCGTCAACGACGTTCAGCACGCCGGCAAGGACGGCGAGACGTACATCTTCTACGACCAGCCCGAGTGGGACGTCTTCTGGCAGACCTGCGTCGACCTCGACGTCCCCTTCTACCTGCACCCCGAGCCGCCCTTCGGCTCCTACTACCGCGAGCAGTACGCCGACCGCAAGTACCTGATCGGTCCTCCCGTCTCGTTCGCGAACGGCGTTTCGCTCCACCTCCTCGGCATGATCACGAACGGTGTCTTTGACCGCTTCCCCAAGCTCAAGGTCATTCTCGGCCACCTGGGCGAGCACATCCCGGGCGACTTCTGGCGCATCGACCACTGGTTCGAGCACTGCTCGCGCCCGCTCGCCGAGTCCCGTGGCGATGTCTTCGCCAAGAAGCGTCTCCTCGAGTACTTCAAGACCAACATCTGGCTCACGACCTCGGGCAACTTCTCGACCCCGACGCTCAAGTTCTGCGTCGACCACGTCGGCGCCGACCGCGTCCTCTTCTCCGTCGACTCGCCCTACGAGCACATCGACGTCGGATGCGGATGGTACGACGACAACAGGAAGGAGATCACCGAGGCCGTCGGCGGCGACAAGGCGTACAAGGACATTGGACGAGACAACGCCAAGCGTCTCTTCAAGCTCGGCGACTTCTACGACTCGAACGCCGACTAGAGCAGAGCAGAAGCAGTGTATCCACAGCATTCGCACGCATTAAAACTAGCACCACACCAAGTTGTAGCTTTTGGTTCATGAACATCTATACCCAGTCTACTTTCTTGTTGCACTTCTTTGCACTGATCATGCGAGGCAGGATGTCTCGGAGAAGGGCATTTCTAACCTCCGCAGCGTCAGAAGGCCTTTACTTGCGCCGGAGCCTTCGGTATACGCAAGGAGGATATCCTTCATATCCGCATCTCTTGCAAACAGCATTCCCAAGCCCAAGTCCGGTTCGGCGCAGCGCACGCCTGTCCCTTCTTCCCGGCTGTCAGTCTCTTCCGTTAGTCATCGTCAGTAGTATCGGAGTCGAGCGGCTGGCTGCGTCATAGTGCTGCAATCGGCAACCTCACGAGCGGGGAGCCGAGATACGTCTCATTCCGCGCTTTATCACATGACCCCCGCGGCCATCCCCACGTCTCTCAGTGGGCAGCCGCCTGAATTGGGTTGCGCCGTGGGAACGCCGCGGGAGTTGCGGGTAGTCTCCCAGAGAGATACGGAGCTTGGCCAGGCGAACCCCACATCAGTGCCGAGCGACAGCGAACCAGCAGAGCGAGAGGAGGAATGCACACGGTACTCACCAGGTATTCACCGGAGAACGGTGATGAGCCGAGGCTCATTCTGGTTATGCACCGGGTTGTCGCCCTGCGCCGCCGACCGCAGCGTCGGTCCGTCTGATAGGGGATTGGGAGCGACGTCGATTGATTGTTGGATGGACAGGGGTGTGGTGTTGAGCGGACATGCCCACCACACCATCAGTCAGTTCGCTATACCCGCCCCTGGTCGACGCCCAGACCCGCCCTGACCCCACCACCCCTTCTCCGGTCCCCCTCATTCACCAGGTCGTTTCCAGTCCCAGTTGAACCCTGTTCCAAGCCTCAGCCCCGCCAAGGCACCGAGCTATCAGCGACCACCTCACGCACAACCTACTACCACTAATCATCTGACTTTCACAAACGTCACCACCACAACATACTCCACGACCATGGAACTCGACGACCTCGACGACCTCCTCGGCCCACGGCAGATGCGCAATTGCCTCCCATGCAAACAGCGCAAGATCAAGTGTGAGCGCACCGGGTAATCGATATGAGCGTGCTGACGCCAGGCGACCGCAAGATCCCATGTGTGTATACAACAGAGACAGCGAGGAAGACACTTAACTAACTTTAAGGTGGACCATGTGCTCTGCGCAAGGACGTGAAGAGCTGCTCGCCAGAGCTGTCAAAGCTGAAGGACCTGGCCTCGCGCGATCTGGGAGGGCTGTCAGGACTGGGCGACCGGAATGTGACGGCGAGCGAGTTCCAAGTGCTCGTGAAGCGCGTCAAGTCATTGCAGGACAAGGTTGCCGAGCTGGAGAGCACCGTGAAGGCTGGCGGAGGGCGCTCAGCAGCCGGGACGAGGGAGCACACGCCTCCGTTGGGACTGTCTCCGAAGGCGACAACAGTGACATCGCGGCGGCACCAGGGCGAGGACGAGATGGTGTTCGCGCTCGAGGACTTCCAGATGTCGCACCGGATCAACGCGATGCGCAACATTGAATCGCCAGGCGGCACTTCGCGGGAGCGCGACAACCTGTCGACCGTAACGACCGACCACCCCATGGCCTTCCTCGTGCCGCCGGGGAGTGACTACCTGCAGAAGGCGATGCAGGCGCTGCCGGACGAGCAGACGTGCCAGTTCCTCGTGCAGCAGTACTTTGACCATGTCGAGTGGTTCCAGCGCTGCCTGCACTATCCGACATTCATGCGCCAGTGCCGCCAGCTGTGGGCGCGCGAGGCACCTCTCGACCCCGACTTTGTCTGCACGTACCTCATGGTCGTGTGCCTCGGATTGCGGACTGTCGTCGACACGCTGCCGGGCATGACGAATGCGCTCGGGCTGGCCGACAATCTCTACCACGTCGCCGAGGGCGTGCTCTGGATGTCCCGCTTCCTGCACCGGCAGACGTTTGAGAGCCTCCAGGCCATCTCCCTGATGACGGTGTACGGGTTCGGGCTCGAGGACGGCGCAGACGCGACATGGGCGCTGTGCGGCAGCGCGGTCAAGATCGCCCAGAACCTGGGCCTGAACCGCCTTGAAGCCGAGGCGCCAGGGAAGGAGTGGTCACCCCTCTGGCGGTCCCGATTGCGCCGAGAGCTCGGCCGACGGCTGTGGTGGACATTTGTCGCGCTCGACTGGTCCAACGCCATCGCCCACGGAAGCACGTACCAGGTCGTGCCGATGCAGAACCTCTCCGCGCTCCCGAGCAACCTGCGCGACGACCAGCTTGAAGACGACGAGGCTGCTGCCGAGCCGCTATCCGTCTACACTGTAAGTTGCCCTTTCGAGCCGTGAACTGACAAGCAGCCGATCTCGATGCAGATCTTCCGCTTCAGGTTTGTCAAGCTGTACCGCGAGATTGTCGACCACATGATGCAGCACACGACGCCGTCGTACTCGTTCATCCTGCGGATGGACGACTCGATCATCGAGCTGGCCTCGTCTCTCCCGCGGCACTTTGAGGATCCCACCGAGCTGCCGGACGGTGTCGACCCGGCCCTGCTTGTGGACAGCGTGTTCCTCAACATGCAGGCGAACATCCGCCTGTTGCGTTTGCACCGCCCCTTCTTCCTGCGCGGCTACCAGGACCCGCGCTACGAGCGCTCAAAGAGCCGCTGCGTCGAGGCGTCCCGTCTGGTGCTTGGGCTCGTGGACGTTGCACGCCGGCGTGCGCCCAACCTGCTCTCCTTCTGGACCGTGCTCTTCTATGCCTTCTCAGCCGCAGTCCCAGTGTGCATCGACCTCTTCTTCGACCCTGCGCCCGACAAGCGCGCGGCCGTCGAGCAGATCCTGAACACGTTCCGGGAACACGCCACCATCTCCAGTGCAGCCCGGAACAGTGTCTTTGTGCTTGAGCGTCTGCTCGAGCTCGAAAAGCAAGTGCGCGAGGACGACTCGCCGCGCGACGGTGCCGGACCCTCGAAGAAGCGCAGGCTCAGCGGGCACAGCGGCCCCTCCCGAAAGCACGCCGAGGTGCTCCGGAACAGTATCCGGAGCATTCTCGAGAATGCTGCGTTCTCGCAACACCCGAGCACGATCCCCGTGCTTCCGCAGCAGACGGCACCGAGCGAGAGCGCACCGAGCGAGGGGAGCTTCCCCCTCGCGCTCACGCCGACGCTGGCGCTGGACGATATCTGGCCGACAAACTCGAGCTTTGACACGCTCGACACACTCTGGGTCCAGAGCGAGGGCATGACCTGGCCCGCGCTGTAAGCTGGCTCTGTTTTCATGCCATCTTAGGCCTCCACACCCATCGCTGGCCATCACTCACCCTTCTGAGGGAAGTGAGAGGCGATAACATTAGCATCCGTACATCCTCTGTATGTAAACTATGATCTCAGTGGTCACCGGAACGTTGATCCGGCAGAGCATTGCCTCCACTTCATTCAAGACGCCGCAGGAGAGTACAGCGCAAACCCGAGGCCCGTGGGACTCATAAGGCGGGCGCGTGAGGTGAGGGGGTAACGCAAACCCGAACATGCACTACCCCGCGTCCCCGCGTTCTCTGTACTCCGGCATGGCTTGTTCCCCGGATCAGCGGACAGGAGGGAGCAGCGCGGGCAGCGCGGCGGCACCGCGATGTCTCCGTCTGATGTGGGCAAGGAGCTAAGCGCTGAGATGAAACACGATCGTACCGAGTAGGATGGGGGGCCAGTGAGGGGCCCAGCAATTCCCCGCCGTAACAACGGGCACAACGGGCAGTTCAGGACTCTTGCTTCAACTCGGTCCAGTCTGAGCCTGGGTCTGCATAACGGTAGGACGGCAGTGCGGTTGTGTGGTTGTGCGGTACCGAACTGAGGCGGTATGAGTCAGTCACTCCGGTCCAGTTGCTCCGTGGGGCCGCATTCCTAATTAACCCAGAGCGAGACAGGCCCATCACACAAAATTCCAAGACAACCATACAGAGCCTCGTCGGCGTTCCGCGCCCACGAAGGACGGCAGTACGGAGCAGGGACAGCATGATCCATGAGAGTGGACGGATCGCTCGGCCTGCACGGCGGAGAGTCAGGAGAGGCTGGAGGCTTTGGCCAGGGACGAGACCCGCTTGCGCCGCTCGCCGCATCCGGGTCGGGAAAACTGACCCCAGCGTCGCTTCGGCTCCGCGGCGACTTGTGCACACGCTGAGTGGGCGATCTGTCTGGATGGCCTCGGTGGCTCGTTACGATGCCCCCACACTGCCAGCGAAGTGCCAGGCCCGGCAGGCCCGGCGAACTGTATCTCCATCCTCTCCCTCCTCACCCCCCGCCTTACAGTGCAAGCGATATGTACGGCATGCTGGGTGCGTTGGTAAGGTACTACGGCGTCTCGCACGGACGGCGGATGTGGCCGAGCACCAAGGCAGACCATGGCCTGAGCACGGGCTGAGCGCAGAAGCAATGCATGGGTGCACGTGAGCGCAGAATGGGACGGAAAAAGACATCCACCGCATGTAATCCAGGTCTTGGCCCTGCGCTGCCGCCCTGCTGAGCCCTGCTGTGGCCCTGCTGAGCCCTGCTGGGTCGCCGGCTGACTACGGCTGAGAGCGGCAGTTGGCTAGAGGGGGGATATCGAAATCCTAGGAATTCCTTGCGGGGGCTAACTATAGCCCACCCCCCACTGGAAGGGTCATGTGAGTTGGCCTCGCCTTATCTCTGCTTCCCACTTGCACTGTCGTGTCGTCAGCGTTACGACTGGGCACCAAGGTACATGCGAGGAACCGATGGGTCGTCGTGCATAGATGCAGAAGCTGGTGCAGCCTGGTTGGCAGCGGATAATTGCGGTCTTTGAGATGAAGGGCAGCGTGAGGGGCGTGAAGCCGTCCCTGTGGAGCAATGTCAGGGCTGACCTCAGCACCTGGGCATCTGCGCCGCGGGATTCGTCTAGCGGCCCAAAATTTCGCTTTTGGCTGCAAGTCAGCATCCGGTCAAGCGACCATGCAGATCCACTAGAGAGAAGAGTAGTCGCCGCTGACCCTTATTCCCCTGCGCACGCCGCGGTATCGGCCGTTGGGATGCACGCTGACTCGGCTGGAGCCACTCCCATTGCTCGATTAAACTCCAGGTACAGTCAGGAATGCAGGGCACAACCAGGGACCGGCGTGGGGTCTACTACGCTCCTCAGCTGGCAGCAGCTCGTAGATCCGCGGCGAACTCTGACTCAGACAACCGCCCAGCAAGCGCTGAGCCATCCAGTGCGGGCTTACGTCTGTCGGCAAAACTTCACCCACCTGGCCACCTGGCACAAGACCGCTGCGACACCTGGGACCACACCTGCCCCTCTAGCGCGGATTTGGGTCGGTCGAGCCCCGCGCCGAGTCCCAAACCGATACGAGTCGCTGCCTACCCTTCGAGCAGGACCCAAACCCAACAAAAGTAGTGCCAGAAGCGGATCCCCTCTCCTCCCCACTCAACTCTCTTTTCACCACCCCCGTCCACCGTACTCAGACGACCGAGGACAGATACGGCCCACCCCCTCCTTGCCTGTCACCTCCTCTCGACACTTGGCGGCAACACGCTCCGACCTTCCGACCACTCACTTCCTTCCTCTTTTTCCACCGACACATCCCCATCCGCCGACAACCACCACGACAATGTTCGGCTTCTCGTCCGACAAGAAGTCTGACGGCGGCGGCACGACTGTCGAGCCGGCGTACCCGGCCACTGACGTTGAGAAGTCGTCGCCGGCGCCCTACGACCCGAATGAGCTGAACGAGCGCGGCGAGATCGAGGGCGGAGTCAAGCGTCAGCTCAAGCCCCGTCACATGGCCATGATTGCCATCGGTGGATCCATCGGAACTGGTTCGTATCAAAGGCAGCTTCGGCCTACCATGCTCGGAAGAGTAGGGTAGTTGGGGCTCGGTTTTTTACCATGCTCGTTGCGCGAGTAGTTGGGAGGAGAGGGCAAAGCTTACCATGCTCAGGTCTTTTCGTCGGATCAGGCGAGGCGCTCGCCAACGGAGGCCCCGTCGCTATCTGGCTCGCATACTGCCTCATGGGCACGATGGTGTACGGCATGATGGTCTCGCTCGGAGAGATGGCGACGCTGTTCCCCGTCGCCGGCGCGTTCACGCACTACGCGACTCGTTTTGTGGACCCGGCTCTTGGTTTCGTGAGTGTTAGATTTTCGTCGGCTTGGCGCACGGCATACCCCGCTCGCACTCCGCAACTCCCCTGCAACTCCACTTCGCCGATCCGGCACCGACAACCAGCGCTTGGCTCAGCCAGAGGATTTGTGTCTCGTTAGGAACGGGCGTTTAGGGGTCTAATTTTCCGCCTGTGTGCCGCAAGCCCCCGGATCTCTTCTCGGATCAAGGCCGAGAGGCGGCAGACGCGGCAAAGGCGGCAGACGCGGCGCGAGCGAGGCGTCCACCCCGCACTCGTCGACGACGAGAATAGAAACAGCGAAGTCAAGAGCTGACCAACTAGGCTACCGGATTCAACTACTGGTACTCATGGGCCATCACGCTCCCGACCGAGCTCGTCGCCGTCGCGATCATCATCGCTTACTGGGACGCGGACACGAACCCGGCTGTGTGGATCACCGTGTTCATGGTCGTGTGCTGGATTGTCAACTTCTTCGGTGCCCGCGCATACGGTGAGACCGAGTTCTGGCTCTCGACGATCAAGGTCATCACCATTGTCGGTCTGATCATCCTCGGTCTCGTTCTCATGTGCGGTGGTGGCCCGACCCACGACCCCATTGGATTCCGATACTGGCGCAACCCGGGTCCGTTCAACCAGATCACGATCGATGGTGGAGAAGGCGTGATTCCAGGACACTGGGGCCAGTTCCTTGCCTTCTGGTCGATTCTTGTCCAGTCCGCGTTCTCGTTCATCGGTACCGAGATCCTGGGTACGACGCTTGGTGAGGCGCAGAACCCGCGCAAGTCGGTTCCCAAGGCTATCCGCCGCGTCTTCTTCCGTATCCTCCTCTTCTACGTCCTCGGCATCTTCTTCATCTCGGTCCTTGTCCCTTACAACGACCCCCGTCTGCTCGGCGGTACCGGTGACGCCTCGTCTTCGCCCTGGGTCATTGCCATTGACAATGCCAAGATCAAGGTCCTGCCCCACATTGTCAACGCCGTCATCCTCTCCGCCGCCTTCTCGGCCGGTATCTCGGACGTCTACGCCGCCTCGCGTACCTTCTACGCGCTCGCGCTCGAGGGACAGATGCCCAAGATGTTCCGCTACTGCACCAAGCGCGGCCTGCCCATCAACGCCATCATCATCACGTGTCTCTTTGGCCCGCTCGCGTACCTGAACACGGGCGGAGAGAAGGCGCAGGAGGCGTTCAACTGGCTGTACAACCTCGCCGCGATCGCCGGTATCGGCACCTGGTGGACGATCCTCGTCTCGTACCTCCGCTTCTACTACGGCATGAAAGTGCAGGGCCTCTCGCGCAACGACCTCCCCTACAAGGCGCCCCTCATGCCGTACCTGGCGTGGTACTCGCTGATCTGGTTCACGCTCATCCTGCTCTTCAACGGCTTCCCCGTCTTCCTCAAGGGCAACTGGGACACGTCGTCCTTCTTCGCCGCCTACATCTCCATCCCCATCTTCATCTTCGCGTACGTCATCTGGAAGGTCGTTAAGCGCACACACACCGTGCCCCTCAAGGACATTGACTTCCACACCGGCCGCCGCGCACTCGACACCATGGAGCAGGAGGACGAGATGACCTACAAGCCCGAGGGATGGGTCCAGAAGTTCTTCGCCTTGCTCTTCTAAACTGTGCAAACAGCAGCAACTGCAATCAGCAATATATATCCACAAATATCCTGCCTGCCCGTAGACGAGTGGTCTAGTTTCTCTCTTTCTTGTACGGTGTATCTATCATTATGCATAATCATTGCATCACTGCGAGCATGACACAAGACGAGCGGAGCGAGCCCGTGTGATGGTGGCAGATCTGGTCGCACAAGGCGATCTCATCGGACCTTGTGCGCCCGTTTGAGTCCGCCATGAACCTCGGGGTCTTGCTTTGTGGGACACTTGTGCGCCCAGATCATGTGTGCCCCAGCGCTATTCGTTGCAAGTGCGCTTGAAGTGGGTGCCCAATAGCACCAGTCGTGGCAACAATGACGACCATCCGCGGCTCTCCTCCCAGTTGTTCTCACACGCCGTCATTTCTCACACACCAAGTTAAATTAGTAAACTGTGCTGTACATGACAACTGCGACTCTCAGCCTTCAGAAGGCGATTTGGGGTCGACTAGCCCAATACATGTCGTGTGGCATCTGACAGTGCAGGTACAATGGTACGATATCTGAGGCTGAAGTTGTGCGACGGGCAATGTCTGCCACACTACTGTACGATACAAGGAGACTCATGTGGCCACATATGGCACTGGGCTGTGCTCCGTCTCTGTCGAGCTCCCCGAAATCCAGACGTAAAGCAGACACAGCTGATCTCTGAGTCGCTACAGCCTCGCACACAACGTGCTGTATCTGCACCTCACGACCAGTGTCAATCAGAAGGGATGTGTAACGCACCGCGCCTCAACACCTCTCCCGCCACATCTGCTCGTTACGCCGCATCAGCCTCTCTTTGCTGAGCTTTGATGACTTATCACCGAACAGGACTTAAATCACGGAAGGCAGTGACTCCGTGCACCGAGGCACATCGGAGTGTCTGAAGACGGGAAGAAAACTCACCCTCGAATGCGACCGTCTGAGCGTAGACATGCTGGCTCTGCGTTCGTCGTTGCAGCGACATCGCTGCTTCACGGTCCTTTCCCGGTCTGCCAGATACGCCGCTGAGACAGTACCTCTTCCCTAATCGTCGAGTGTCAGTGCAGTGGTGTGTGCGCTGGCGAGCGAGACTGCATCGCAGACTTGCGTTATTGAGCGCAGGCGGCACATGTCACTCGAAAGCAAGTGATCACTACGATCCCGCGTCCCACTAGATCTCGAGACTGCCTATTTTCTGCTGCGCGACGAAACCCCGTTGAGCACTCGAGCTCTGAAAAGGTCTGACGCGTTCAAGACTGTTCAGGAGCGCAACTGAGAACTAAAGATCGCTCGTGAGGTAAGTGTCCGACCAGTACACGCACACAGATTACAGCCGCTTACACCTCCACCTAAGAGAAAGCACAATCACAAACTTGTGTATGCCAGCCCTCTTCCGACTGCTCCTCGGACTGTCTCACTTCAGCCGCGACATGCACACACACTAGATCTAGAACCCGTGTACCGGCACGGATATCAGTCGCTGGTCGGAAAAACCTGGTGGCGCCACACACACTTGACGTCATCCATCCACCCAACCACACAGCTTCGTCCAACCAGCGCCCCGTTTCCTCGCCTCCAACACTCCAACAACCCCTCACCATGCATGCACAAGTCCCAAAAACGAAACCTGCCCCCACTCAGAATCGAACTGAGATCTAGAGATTGCAACTGAGCATATGAGACTCGCGTACTAACCATTATACTATAGGGGCTATGAAACTGAGAGATGTTCGAGTTCGGGCGCTGTCATACATAACCATGCCAACCTTCACTCGCTGATTTTTGGGCGGCTTGTTTACCCTTCTTGGCCCTAAACAGGCGCAGGCAGCTGGGCAACAACATAGCAAGAGAATGGAGTGGAGTATGCATGTCTATGTAATGGTACAACAGCAGATAGGGCGGGGCGTTACGCAGACGGCGCAGCTTTACTTCTTAGAGAGCTGCTTCTTGCGGTAAGCCTCGACCATCTCCTTCTGGACGTTGGGGAGGACGGGGGCGTAGTTCTTGAACTCCATGGAGAACTCTCCCTTGCCCTGGGTCATGCCGCGGAGCTGGGAGCTGTAGCCGAACATGTCGTTGAGCGCAACCTCGGCCTGGAGGGTGAACTCGTCGTCGCGGACCTCCGAGTCGAGAATGGTGCCGCGGCGCTGGTTGACGGAGCCGATGACGGCGCCCTGGAACTCGACGGGGGCAATGACCTCGACGGCCATGACGGGCTCCTTGATGATGGGCGCGGCCTTGGCCATGGCCTCCTTGAAGGCGCCGATCGCGGCCTGTCGGAACGCAAGCTCGCTCGAGTCGACGGCGTGCGCCTGTCCGTCCTCGAGCACCATGCGGACACCCTGGATCTGGTGTCCCGTCAGGAAACCGCGCGACATGGCCTCCTCGAATCCCTTCTCGATGGCGGGGATGTAGGCCGCAGGAATGTTGCCTCCAATCACCTGGTTGACAAAGTCCGTGTCCTTGCCCGTCTCCTCGTCGAGCTCCATCGGCTCGAGGTAGCCCTTGACTCGACCGAACTGACCGGCACCACCCGTCTGCTTCTTGTGCGTGTACTCGAACTTGGCAGGCTGCGTGATGGTCTCACGGAACGCGACGCGCGGCTTGCCCGTGACGCACACCGTGTTGTACTCGCGCTTCATGCGCTCGACATAGATGTCGAGGTGCAGCTCGCCCATGCCCGAGATAATGGTCTCTCCCGACTCGTCGTCGACGTGGACGCGGAACGTCGGGTCCTCACGCTGGAAACGGGCGAGGGCGCGCGAGAAGTTGGCGCTCTCGGTGCCCTCGGGGCGGATCGAGAGCGAGATAACGGGCTCGGGGACGAACATGGACGTCATCGAGTAGGTCGAGTTGCCGTCCGTGAACGTGTCGCCCGAAGAGCAATCGACGCCGAACATGGCGCAGATCTCGCCGGCGGCAATGCTGTCGACGTCCTCCATCTCATCGGCGTGCATGCGCACAAGACGGGGGACCTTGACCTTCTTGCCCGTGCGCGCGTTGTAGATGACGCCGCCCTTGCGCAGCTCACCCTGGTACACGCGCATGTACGTGAGCTGGCCGAAACGGCCTTCCTCAAGCTTGAACGCGAGACCGACGAGAGGCGCGTTGCCGGCCGGAACGAGCTCGACGGGGGCGTCAGCCTTCTCAGTGTCGAGGGCGATCGCCTTGACCTCGTCGGGCGCGGGGAGGTACTGGCACACACCGTCGAGCATGTGCTGGACACCAGTGTTCTTGATGGCAGAGCCCATGAAGACGGGGATGAACTTGAGTCCAACGGTCGCGCGGCGCATAGCCTGCTCGATGTCCAGCACCGAGATGGGCTCCTCGTTCAGGAACTTGTCGCACAGCGTGTCGTCCGCCTCGGAAAGGTGCTCGATCAGCTCGGCGCGCTTCTCCTCGGCAAACTCCTTGAACTCCTCGGGAACCTCCTTCTCGACAATGACGTTACTGTTTGTTAGCTGAGAAGGTAGACCAGCTAGCTTACCCCTTGACACCCTCGTTGTAGAGCGCCTTCATGTGGATAATGTCAATGACACCGGCAAAATCGCTCTCGGCGCCCATCGGGATCTGGACAGCAGCAGCGTTCATCTTGAGCTTGGTGCGGAGCTGGTCGATGACACGGAACGGGTTGGCACCGGCACGGTCCATCTTGTTGATGAAAGCAACACGGGGGACGTTGTAGCGGCGCATCTGGCGGTCGACCGTGATGGTCTGCGACTGGACACCGGAGACGGAGCAGAGCACAAGAACAGCACCGTCAAGGACACGGAGCGCACGCTCGACCTCGATCGTGAAGTCGACGTGTCCCGGGGTGTCGATGATGTTCATGCTGTACTTCTCCTTCTCGGCGGGGGAGCCCTCGGTGCGCTCGTCCGGCGGCGGGAGAGACATCCAGTCCGCGAACGTGGCGGCAGACTGGATCGTGATACCCTTCTCGCGCTCGAGGTCCATCGAGTCCATCTTGGCACCGACATTGTCGCGGCCACGAACCTCGTGGATGTCACGGATACGGCCAGTGTAGTACAGCACACGCTCGGTCAGAGTCGTCTTGCCGGAGTCAATGTGCGCCGAGCTGACGTTAGCTAACAGAGCGCTGCCTGCCGGCAGCTGAGTTACTCACATACCAATGTTCCTCTGACGGGCGAGCTTCTTCTTGTCATTGTCAGAGAGCTTGTAGCCGAGCTTGACGGGCTCAGTGGAGGCCGGGGCCTCAGTAGACTCCCACCGGCGCTGGGCGGGGAGCGCGGCGGGGCCGGCAACGCGCGCGACACGGGCGACGGGGCGGACCGAGGTCGAGAGCGCGCGAGCCTGGATGGCGACGCGGGGGCGGATGACACGCGCAGAGCGCACGATGCGTGAAACGGCAGACATGTTGGCCAGCCGCGTTTTGCCTTTTGGGAGAGTGGGGGGGAAAGGTGAGGTGCAAGTGCAAGGAGACAAGCACTTGAAATCGCGAGCTGCAGACTGGCCGAGCCGCCGTCCGATCGTCAAAAAGACCGCTGTTCCGACTTTTTACGCCCGCGTTTGCCGTTGCACGTGGGAGGCACGCGCGGAGTCCCTGGCCCTGTCCGTTCTCCGAGGGAGTTATCCCGAGGTTAGCGCCGTGCCGGACCGCTGACGGTCATGAGTACATGCATGCTGGTGGAGGACAAGCTCTACAATTGTTGTATCACTCTATTACTGTTATGCTTAGATTCGTGAAATGAAGCGAGATATATTGGTTACACCTTCCAGCGACGTCCGATGACGACGAGTCCGATCGCTGATACGATCGCACAGATGCCAGATACGAGGAAGGTCAAGTCGAAGCACTTGCGTCCGTAGCACATTGTCGGCGCTACCTCCTCAATCTTGCTGCCACGCTCCGAGTTGAACGCGTACAGGTACTGCTGTCAGCTTGAGATCATGTGAGACCGAGCTTACCGAGAAGAGGACACTGCCGAGGGCGGGGAAGTACGAGACCATGCCCCACGTAAGGCCGAAGGAGGTCGCGCCAAAGTGCGCCGACACGATCGCGGGGGTGAGCGTGAAGATGGCGCCGTACAGGGCGCCGACGCCGGCACTGAGGACCCACAGCCGACTCTCGCGGTCCAGGAACCCGGAGGTCCACAGGAACACAAGGCCGAGGAGGACACAGCAGATGGCGTTGAAGGACGTGCGCAGAAGGTGGAAGCCCCTGGCCCTGTTCGCGACCGGGCCGTCCTCTGTGGGGTCGGTCGCGAGTGCGATCGCAGGAGCGGGAGGCGCAAGCATGTCGGCGAGGAAACCGGTTGCGAGGCGCGCGACGGTTGAACAGATCGACAGAATGAGGACGTGCTTGTTGCGCAGCGCGAGAGCCGAGTTCTCAGCTGCGCTGCGCGCAAACGTGACCACTGTTGGCGCGGCCTTGAGCGCATCGAAGAGCTCGACTGGCAGCGTGTCCGGCGGTAGGAGGCTGGTGAGGATGTTGCCGATGGAGGCGATGACCATCTCGCTCGGACCGATGCAGAAGGTGATGACCATGCCGAACGCCCAGAAGCCGGGGTTGTGCACCAGCTTCCAGACAGTCCAGCGCACATCGCGCCCGTGCTGCTCTGCCTCGACGTCCTTCCTCGCGGCCTCGATGCCGCCGATGAGGAGCGGCGCACGCTCATCGAGGTGCAGCGATGACGCGAGGTCCGCGATCGTGAGCGAGTCGCCGCCGTAGTTGCCCTCGTACTCGCTGTCGCTATCCCAGCCCTGGGCGTCATCCATCTCGTCCTGCTTCGGCGGGAGGATGCGCATAAACACGGAGCTGAACAGGTTGACGCACAGCGACAGCGTGCCGAGGAAGGTGAGGTACTTGACGACGTTGAGCTCGCCGTTGTCGTCCTCGAAGGTGGAGAGGTTGGAGAAGCTCGAGAGGAAGAGCGAGGACAGACCCATAAATGACAGCGGGACGCTGAGAGACAGCGTCGGGTGCGCGGGGAAGGAGAGCGAGGCGGTCGTCAGAGCGGCAAAGTATGAGCCGACCGTGGCGGCGCCAACGGAGAAGTAGCAGGCCGTCAGGAGCAGATACGTGTTGTCCCACTCGGCGGCCCAGGGCGCCTTCAGAATGGCGGCGAAGAGATAGTATCCTGCCGAGGAAAGAAGGGCGGATATCAGCGAGCCGACCCGCGGACCGAGGTGGTCCGTCAGCGACCCCAGTGGCGCGGCGCAAAGGTACACCCCTAGGATACCGCTGCTTGTCAGCTTAAGGTCCGTAACTATCGAGCTCACCCTACAACGATCGTCTGGGACTGTGTCCCATTCAGACCCAACTCCCTCGACACAACGGGTCCACTGTTGTTAGCTACATGGCCGTCGTCGCCACCCTAGCTGGTGTCAAGTATGGGGTGTCACGCGTGATGCTCCCTTTCGGTGGGGCGCGGCGGAGCGCGGGTTGCTCACTATGTGGGCCAGCAGTAGACGCCGTTCGCCTGAACTGCGCTGATACAGATGGAGATGCACGTCGTGACAGTCTCGATGGACCTCGCATCCCATAGCCTCCGGTACCACCTCTTGCGGCTGTCGACGATGGCGTCGACGTCGGGCGGCGCCAGGTCGTCGGGTCGCGTGCGCTCCTCGTCATACTCGATTGTCGGCTGTATCGTTGTCATGGCGTCAGCCCTGGCCACTCGGCTGAGTATGAATAAGGAGGAAGTGGTCAAGGATGATTGTGGTGAAGAAGAGGAGGGAGGAAGGAAGGAAGGTCGAGAATGGATCGGGTGGCGCGACAGACTACGCCTGCAACCTGCGCCGCTCAGTAGACGCGCTTAGCGGCTGAGTCGGGAGACCGAGCTGGGCAGACTCGAGCGAGACTGGGGCCAGGAACCGATGACGCCGTACGGTGATCAGCGGCACGGCCACCGCACGGAGCGCACCACGTGACTCACCACTTCCACCCAACACACTCCCCACGAACGAACAGACGCGGAGTGCGCCAAAACCTCCACCCACACCAGGCTCAGCCTCGCAGCCTCCACTAGCGCGCCAATCATCCTTTCCCCGTCACATCCCACACATCCACACAACTCCGCAACACCTCCTCGCAACCTCACGATACTCAACAAAACCATCGACACAATGCCAGTCGAGAAGCGCTGCCATGTCGCGCCCCTGCTCTCGGGTGACGAGACAAAGTACAGGCGTGAGCTTCTTGGTCAAGGTTATCAGAGCTGACGTATCCAGGCCGGTATCGAGTGCTGAAGGACATGGTCAACGACCTGAGCGACGTGGGTGTCCTTTCTCCATCATGTTAGCTGTCAGCCCAGACGACATCCCTGTTGTGCTTTGCAACGTATCCGTTCAAGGCAACGGCAACGAGTATTCCATGTGGATGCTTCCGGTGGATGTTCCCCGTGGATGTCTTCCCTCCCGCCCCGAGCTCGCTGCTCTGTGCCTCATAGCTGTGCTGACCAGTGCCTCATAGCTAACCCCAGGAATCCAACCTCCTCGCCTTGCGCGTGCACAAGATCCAGCGCCGGATCTACGACCACTACCTCTCCGCGTACGGGCATGCGCCGCCCGTGGTTCCTCTGCCAACGGACGCGTCCTGGTCCCCCCTCGTCGGAAACAAGGAAGAGTACCCCGTCGACATTGGCGCGCCTCTCGCCAACCGGGCTCCGAAGCGTCACGTCGGGGACGCCGAGGAGCCGCTCCGCCGCACAAAGGCGGCACCCGAGTCCGAACATGCCGATCATCCTGGTTCTGATATGCCCGAGCCCTCTGAGGGGGATCGGGACGAGAGGGACGAGAGGGATGAGAGAGACGAGAGGGATGAGAGGGAGGGAGAGGACGAGGAGTCCATGGCCACGTCTCGCGCTGGGACTAGTGTTGGCGACAGAGGGGAGAGGGTTGAGAGGCTGCATGCCATTCCGGCGGGAGCTAAGCAGGAGTTCCAGCCGCCGCCTGACGAGTGGACGCTTGATCGAGAGCGGGCGGAGCGCAAGCGGGGAGTCAAGAGAGAGAGGGAGAGGAGTTATGACGACGAGTACTCGCGCGAGAGGGAGAGTGCGAGGGGCGGCTCGCCGCGGAGCGATGTTGATGACTACTAGGCCGCTGGCCACGGCGTCAGAATGGTGGTCAAGTTGTGCAGTAGAAGTGCAGCGACACAAGAGTATAGCTAGAGATTCATTTCATGATGTATTAATACGAACCATCACTGTTTCACTATTTGATACTGGAGAGAAGAAAAGGAAAAGAGCCGTAAAGTTGAGAGGGAAGTGGGGAAATGATGTTGACGTCCACGCACCACGGAATGGATACAGATAGTTTGAGAAGCGTTGATGAATGATTGTACGGTCTTCGGAGTGGGTTCTACGACTACGCCTCGCTCTGAACCATAGCTGTGAATGGTGTCAGCCTCAAGTTCCCTCTCTAGTTACGGTGTATGAAAGGTCCGTGTGTGTTCGTAAAGTCAAGAAGTTCAAGAAAGTTCAAGAAGGCAAGAAAATGGGGTCTGTTGTATGATTTTGTTATGATGATCCAAGAAATCAAAAGTGTTCGTCTCGAAAGACAAGGTGATATGGCCGTGTCGTTCCAGAGAGGAGAAGGTGTAGAAAGAGAGAGGAGGCGGCCCCGTTTACGCCGTTCCCGCCGCCTCTCCCTCGGTCTGGACAATCGACTCACGTTCCCTCGTCTTCTTGCGGCCGGGGAGGCGGTCCTTGATACCTCGCCCGATCCACTTTGCGCTTCGGTAAGCGCCGACCTGGGCCATGCCGCGGCCCCTGGACTCGAGCTGGCGCTTATGCGCCTTGTCGATCTCCTTCTGCTCGTGCTTGTCGATGACGCCGTCGTCCTCGAAGTGCTTCTGCATCTCCGAGATCTCGCTCTCGCCCTCGGTCGCCATCCAGGCCTCAAAGGCATGGCGGCGGCTCTGGGACAGGCGCAGCTTCTCGTGCTGAATGTCGAGACCGGCGCTGAACGTCATCTTGGCCGTGACGGAGCCGACGAGCTCGAACTCGTGGTGCTTCAGCGTCTGATCGTTGATCACATTCTGTCGCAGGACCTGCATGTTCGGACCAGTGATGACGGGGATCTCGACCTCGCCCTCAATGTCGTCCGTAAGGTCCTGTAGCCACAAAACGGCGATCGCCTCGGGCTTGCCTTGTCCGATAAGCTTGCCAATACCCGACGCGCCAAACTCGAACACAATGTGCGATTGGTAGCGGTTGTACACGGGGAAGTATTCCGGCTGGTCGGTGTTCCACTTGACGCACTGGCCGTCGGCCTCGCTGTGCCGCTTGCTCAGCTTCTCCGTCCACTCGTGCGTCGACACGGTGAGCGCCATGCGCTCGGCCTCGAACTTGTCCTTCTTCGAGGGGTCGGCGCGCAGAACGATATCCTGAACGGCGACGGTTCCCGTGTTCCAACCACGCATGTTGACGGGGAGCTTGGTGCGCATCGAACGGAAAGCAAATGAGATGTTGGCCTTTCCGAATCCGACACCCTCCTGGATCGGGTAGGTGGCGGTGACAGAGGACGCCTCGCAGAAAACGTCGTTGAGATTGACGGAAACAACGCCCATGATCGGGTCGCTCTCGCGCAGACGCGAGTCGCGGATGACAACGCGAACTTCAGTGGTGGTGTAATCGCGGATGAAGATCTCAGTACCGGCATCGAAGTAGGGGTTCGTCGTGTACTGCTTGACACGCGTCTTGTAGCACAGCTCGTCGTTGACGATGAACTCGCCGTAGCCACAGGGAAGGTTTTTGGTTTGCTCGCTCGGGTCGTCCGTGTCCTGGCCGGCCTCTCCCTCACGGTCCTGACCAGACTTGCCCTCAAGCTGCTGACGCTCGAGGTTGTTGACCTGGTGCAGAATGATGGAGAGAACGCCAGAGGGCCAGGCGTCGTCGGGGCGGGTCTTGGAGACGTCGGGCGGAGGCGGGGGCGGGTAGTCGCGAGCGGGATTCGGTCCCTTGTCGCCGGGCAGCATCTCGGAACGAGCGGCAGACTTCTGGCCAGGGTCCGACTTGGCTTCCTTGGCGGTAGGCAGGCGCTCGTTGGCCTTCTTCAGCGGCACCTTGTCGAAGAAACCGATCGACCACGTAATGGTGCCGGGCATATCGTTGCCGTCCTCGAAACCCATGAGTCCGTCAGTGCGGTCGAACATCTTGTTGGGGTGCTTGATCAGATCCTTCACAGGGATCTGGACACGGCCCACGAGGTCGCTGGCGTCAGTTCTGCTCTTCGGATCAAAGCTCACTCAGCGCTCATCTTGTCGCTGTCCCAGAGCATGACGGCGAGGTCTTCGTCGGAGCGAATTTCATCCTCGGTTAGCTGCAGTGCGGCCGTCTCCTCGTAGACGGGGTTCAGGTCCTCAATGATGATACGGGTCGAGTAGAGCGGGCGGCCGTACTTGGCATACGCGAGCACAATGTACGGGTCCGACTTGCCGTTGTTGTCCTGCGCCGAGAGACCTTCACAGTAGTGAACCGTAATGATGAAGACACCGATAGCACGCGTGTCGCCGACCGCGGCTCCGGAGAGCATGTCCTTCAAGTTGATCGTCATACTCTTAGGCACACAGAGCTCGGAAGTACCAGCTGCAATGGCCTCCTTGACGAATCCGGAGATCACAGGCAGATCAAGCACGTTGGGCAGGTGGCGCGACATGGGGATGGCCGAGACCTCGACGCTGGGCACGCCGCACAGCGCGAACGTGCAGTTGCGCACGAAAGGAGGCTCAGGGATGAACTGCAGGCGAACACGCGCGATGCCGTAGATCTGCTCAATCTGAATCCTGGCTTGATCAGCTCGGTTCGGTGTAGTTCTCAGCTCACCAGATGGGGAAGGGGATGTGGAACCAGTCGTGAGTACCGAGGAAGAACTCGATGAGCAGATGAATGTTCTTGTCACGGTCATTCTGGCCAGGCTGTGCCGAGTACTGGAACGCAACCTCAAAGTTGTAGTAGTCACCCGCCTGGTCTTCCTTAAGAACATCGCCGTCCATGTCCTTTGACGGGGTGTCGGTGCCCTCGTCGATCCAGTTGGTCTTGGGGTAGCCGTCGTCGCCGGGCTGGTCGGGCAGCGCACGGACAGAGGACAGCTTCATGGGGTTGCGACCCTGTCCGAGATCAGTGATGCGGACAGCGTCGACGAAGCTGGGCAGCGAAGCCTGCAGGATATCCTCGACCATATCGGCCATGGGGACGAAGAGGGACGGGTCGATGTTCTGTGTGTCAGTTCTTGCCCAGTTCAATCAACTTACGCCCCAGACCAGCTCGATCAGGCCGTTGAGCCACTCCGCGCTCTCCGGGTACGGCGGCGAGAATGCCTGCCCGCGAGCACGCGTGAGGTCGAGACGGATGGCGTCCACTTCTTTCTCGAGATTCTTAAGCAGGAGGCCGGTGGCCGCGTAGAGTCCAATGCCGACCAGCATCAGGAGGAAGGTACGCCAGAGGGCGGTCATGATGCCGTTTCCGAAGGCCACGAAGAACCAGAGCACCAGGCAAGAGCCGATAATGAGGTACTGCAGCTGCTGGCATCGCTTCAGGAGGTCGTTCACGGACGACGGCGCAGGCGGCGGGAACGGGTAGTATGTGACGTTTCCGCCGGAGATGCGGGTGCGCGAAGGCTCAAAGTCTGTCGTTAGCACGAGAGGAAGACCGGAGGAAGGTAGTAACCGTAGTAGTGCGGGTCAGGAAGGCGACGGTCCTCGCGCTTGAGGAGCGCGAGCCGAGCCAACCCCATCACCTCGAGCAAGCGCTCTTGGCGGTGCATGAGGAAGACAATGATCTTCTCCAGAAGCCGCTTGCGCTTGCGTCTGCCACGAGAGTTGGTGCCCATGAAGGGGGACCAGTGGAGGGTATAGTGGGTGATGACGAGATGATCGCCGCAGGAGACGATGCTCAGCGCATGTCCGCATGCCCGGACACCGCAGCGCCGGCGGCCGGCGGTACACACGGTGCGAGCGGCGCAGCAATGGGTGGGTGCGTCGTCCACTGCGCGCTTCGCAGACACGCGGCAGGAAGGAAGGGAAGGCACGTACCTTTCGGGTCTGCGTCCTTGACCACGACGACTCCGCCCGTGATGGGGTCACGAACTCGGCGCTCTCCCTTCTGAGCCTTCTTGATGCGGTCGGTCGGTTTCTCTGCACACTGTCAGCTAGTCCCGGGTAAGAAAGCTTACCGGTGAAGGAAGTCATCTGGTTCATGAGTCTCTGCTTCTCGTTGGCGGCATTCTTGGGGTCGGCCTTCTTGCGGCTCTGGGTGCCGTCGTTCGAGACCTTGTTGCCTGCCGTTGTGGGCGAGTCCTGCGGGTTGACCGGGTCGCCGTCCCCGTCTACCCGGACGTAGGCCGGCTCGCCCTCTTCCTCGGAGGTAGGACCTTCCTCGGCGAGGCGGTCCTCGTCCTGCTGCGCCTGTTCGCGCATCTCCATGATGCGCGCATACTCGTCGGCCTGCTGCTGGTGGCGCTCATTGATCTGCTGCCAGTCCTGGGCTTTGGGCACCTTGTGCTTGCCCGAGTAGCCCGTGCCAAAGACATGCGGGGCGGGCGGGAGGGAGGGCGGGGAAGTCGGTGTCTCGTTTGCCCGACTTGGATGGAGACGCCTTGGTGGTCTTGGTGACCGTTGGCGTCCCGTTAGTTGTCGTCGACATGGTTGGTGCACTTGCTTGACCGGCGTCGACTGATGGTGAGGAGGTTGACAGTCGATGATCGATCAAGTGTGGCTAGGTGGCTGTGGTTGGGCTTGGAGTCGATCGAGCGGGGCGGCAGGACAGGACGCCTTGTTTAAGAAGGAAAGTCTACGGTGCAGCGTCAGCGCCGAGGGCAGCAAGGGACGAGGGCAGTTCGAGACCACCCCGAGACGTAAAATGGTGTGCGACAATCACCTACGTCATACCTCATACCGCGCCCTCCACACTAGTTATCCACCCGTTCCACCACGCCGAGCCAGCCATAACCCTAAGGGACGTATAGCCATGGAATTGGATGCTGCCCGCCGCCCTCTCCGCATCCTGCGAGTGTCCCATGCTCGCATCTCTGCGCCTCCGCTGATGCCCACGGAGGACGTGCTTGGCACTGTCACCGTGCTTCGTTCCGTGCACTTTTAGGCTGCTTCCGAGGACCGCGACCGGAGCATCACCCCGCGTATCGAACTGGCAAATGACAGCGCCGCACCCCAGGCGTCGCGACGAGGCCGCCGTTCCTTGCCTCACGACAGTCCTTTGCTCCTGACCCACATTTAGCTTGCTATGACGTTGATGTCGGCACCCGCCCTTGTGCCTCTCCCCATCTCTGCGCGAGCTGCGCGCCGCGACCCCGTTCCTCCCGATCCTCCCAAATGTTGCGATCGCGTCAGATCAGATGCCCATCTGTTTCGGCGGACCCATGTCACCTGCTGCGTGCATGACTCTTTTAGTCCCATTAAACCGTCTCCATGGATCTATCTCACTCCGCACCGCATTGGCCCGTCCACATCCAGTACTTCAGCAGTTCACAAGTCGGTGACAAATGCAGCAGCAACAAGTTTGGAGAACTCTAATTACCACAAATGCATACAGTAAGAGGGACATCTATTCAAAACCAGCAGTGACACAGTTAAAATCATATCAGATAGCGACGATCACCAGGCTGCGCAACGGTGGAAGAACCTTGATGCTATTTTTGAAGGCGCCGTTAACGGCTGTTGAGGGGGATAGATTGGTTGTGTATATGTTGGGGGAAAAGGGGGAGGGATAGGCAGGGGTGGGATGACAGCTTAGTCGAAGGTGACCTTCTGGCCGGCCGACTCGACGATGCCGCCGGTGCGGGCACCGCCGCGGGGAGGGC